TGAGATTACATTTTTGCACTTGAAACTTTACAGCAAAACATTGTGAAGATAAAAAAAGTCGAACCTTTCACAGTAAAAAAACACTGAAGGTTATCATGTAAGAGATGAACAAATATCATCAAGTTCATATTGAAATTTAGAACCTTTCTAATAAACATGCAGGGAAAAAAGATATCGTTAACCACTCAAAATTTAATGTAACAGATTCTCTTAGTTATCTAAAAATAGAAGAAATTGTCTCATTCTGGTATAAATTCAATCAAATGCATTTCTTTACCTATTAATAATTACTTATAAAATTAATCTTGACTTATAAAATTGTCTTTTTTTTTTGTTAACGGTGTGCCTTCACATCAGCAAAACTTTGTTATAAATTATTCCTTAACAGACAGATTCCCACGAGTTACGCACCCGTTCGCCACTTTCTTCTCAACTCTTCTCACCTCCCCACCCCGACATAGGAATGAATGCCCACGGTTCTTTGTATATAAATCCTTGTCATGGTTTCACGTAGTTTCAGCAGTTCTCCCACTTACAGGATTGTGCACACCTCAACTATAATCTCAGGGGTCCTGGAGAACAGTTAGGAAAATTCCATTAACCTTGCAGGACTTGAACCAGTGCTCTTTGAAGATAATCCTTAACAGTCCAAGACTTATCTTCTATCGAGTAAAATTGTCTATTTTATTATCAAACACTTTTATGTACAACTTTATTAGTATACTTTACTCAATAGTCATGCTTGATTCATGCAAGCCAAGAGCAATTATAGGGTCAACATTCAACAAGGTTGAAATCTTGAAAACCTCCTCAAAATCATCAAGATTGGCAATGCCATTCCAATTATGGGCAAACAACAAATGGAGGAGCTTTAGGCAAAGCTTGCTCATGAAGAAAAGTCACACCATACCATGATGGTGTCAAATGAATACCTTCAAACTCAAGTTACATTTTTATGATTTTTGTACTATGTTTATTGGGAACCAAATCATCATATTCATCATCATTCATGTGTCCTCAAATTCATCTCCAACATGTTGTGTTCATGGGGGTGAAGAAGCAAAAGCAGTTTTCTCAAAAGACGTTTTCTTTTTTCATAACGGAAACATGTACATTATTATCTTGATAACAAACATGGCAAAAGTTCAGGGTTGATAACGATTGTGTGTGATCTTGATGTACACGATTGTTACCGAGTCTTTTACTCGTTTATGTTGTTTAGATATGCATTTTATCAGAAACCCAGAAGTACTTTCTCTTATTTTGTAACAAACAGTTGTTTGATCTTGATTTCAGCCATTATCATCGAGTCTTTTATTTGTGTATGTTGTTTAAGTAAACAGATAAAACCCGATATTTGTCTATTGGGAGAAGCAAAAAGGGATTTTCCAAAAAGAAACCTTCTATCAAAACGGAAACACATAATCATCTTGCCAACAAATATGACAAAAAGATCAAGATCGATATTAACAGTTTAATCTCGACCAAAACGATCGTCGTCAAGTCTTTTACTCATTTACACTGTCTAAATCAACATTTTACACAACCCATTATTTAATCTGTATGAAAACCACATAATCATCTTGACGATAACACATAACAAACATGATCAAGACGAATGATGATTCTTTGATCTCGTTCAAACTAAACATCATCGAATCTTTACTCGTTTATATTGTCTATACAGATGTTTCAAAAAGAAAGAAAACCCAGAATTTATTTATTCGTCTTTCTTTCGAATCTTTTTTTAACATAAATTAAATTTATACAAAGAAATCCAATCTTTCCTTTTTCACTTTTTGAGCCCCACTTGATGATGATGCCCCTAGAAAATGCCAATTGACAAAACCAACTTCCTCCACAAATTCATCATCTTTGATTTTAGGGCACACAACACCACTATATTTTATTGGCAGGCTTACAAGTCAAAAAAGCTTTGGTTTTTAATGATTTCAAAAGGATGTGTAACATGACAATAATTGTTCATACCTAAAAGTTCATAGCTTCTATACCTTCTACACTCATTAGCAAACACATAAAATGGTTATCAACATCTAAAATATTTCAAAATCATCATCATCATCATCAAATTTATAGTTATTCATGTTTTGTTAATTTCATATATAAAGAAAAACATGGTATTGAAGTTCGGTAACGATCTTGATTATCGAAAGTGGGCATAACTGTTGTCATCAAGGGCGGACACAGTAGGCAAAAACTTAAAAAAGAAAATTACTAGGTTAAAATTTAGGTTTTACATGATTTACATTTCACTTCCCCCCATTACATTTTTTCCACGGTCCCCTAACCCCAATCGAAATCGTTACTTTAAACAAAAAAATCTATTGAAATCAAGCAAAAAAACCGAAAAAGTTATTTGAAATCGACAAAAACACTAAAAAAAATCCCTCAAAGCATTGTAATTAGGTTAAAAACACATCGGCGACTTACGGGCCTTTGATCTACCGTAAAGGTGACCCCACTAGATAAAAATTTTGGATCCGCCACTGGTTGTCATGTTTGCATGTGAAAGCTTGTCGATGGTCATAAGTACGTAGCAAAGATGAAGTTCTCTTTGCTTTTTCTGATTGTGTACAACAAAACTTTGGAAAAGGAAAGATATGAATTGGGTTCGGCACATGGTCAACAAATAAAAGTTAACTTGACCAGTAATTGTAATTCATATACCAAAGAGTCTTTGGCCTTCTAGAAGGTTAGACGTTCAAATCTCACCAAAAGGTGATGAGGGTGTGTGAGTTTATTTGTTGCATTTATCGTATATAAATATTATATACTTCAAAAAAAATTGTAATTCGCATCTAGTATGAATATATCGTATAATTATTTAATTGGGGGAAATTTTTTTTATCAAAATATAAAAAAGATCTGACCTTGTTTCTTATTTATTGTAAATGGTAAATTCTTTTTTCTCAATTAGTATAACGAACGTTCAATTCCTTGTATTTCATATCAATTTCACTTGATAAACGGGTTCCAATCTACATGATCGTATTTGTTAATATTGATATTCGATGTGACATTTTATTCACGTAATCAAGAATCATAATATAACTTAACAATTTGACATTCACGACATTAATAACTACGATATCTTATCGGTAAAATTGGTACAAAATGGGAATAATTTGAAGATTTTACATTAATTAAAAAAAGAAAAAAATATAGTTACAACATACAAGAATTAAGGTAAGTTTGTTGAATTTAAATGGATTTTGTCCTATTTTATATTGTGATTTATTAAAAGTAAAATCTTTTTAGGTTCTTTTTTATGATAATTCAAGGAAAAAGCCATTATTTGTACTCCCTACTCCCTAGCATACAGTATCATGCAAATGGTCCATTCACTCTGAAGAGGAAAAAGAATTCAGATTTTACACCCCCCAAACTTAGGGGTTTTTACAGAATTAGTCCCTAAACATGCAACCATGGACTTTAACCAAAGAACCCACAAATCCCAGTTATTATATTATTTTGATATAAATGAAAATATTCTCATCTTCTTCCCCTCTGCTTTAGATCTCTTCTCAATGGTCTCAGAATGTTTTGGATGCAAACAGTGGCAGATCTAGAATTTCGATGATTGAGGGCACATCTAAGGGTGTAAAAAATTCCTAAAGTGGAGTAACCCATCAAACCCGAAATGGTTTTTGATTATTCAGTTTTTAGGTTAAATGATCGAGTAAATCTTTACATTTTTCTTTAAATTTTGGTTTCACTAGGGTTCTTTCTTCCACCCCCAATTGTGGTTTGTTCCCCCCGCACCAGGATGTAGATATTTTTGGGAGAATTAATTTTTATGCCTCTTCGACGATGTTGAAAGGTCTTAATTTTGTGCTTAGAATTAACATCTTTTTATGTGATCAAATTGTGTCATTTGTCATATTAATCATCCTTGAAGTAGTTAGTTAGCAAATGCAGATATATCTTCAAAGCTTGAAAACAACATTAACAAACAAAGTGATCAGTTTCAACAAAAAATGTTTCGTTCCAAAAGTATATCATCCTACTCTACTCAACTTCATCTTATTACAACCCATATGTCAAGAATCGAAACAACCATCACTACAGAACCCGAAGCTTATTCAAGGCGGTAAGTTCAATAAACTTTTCGCAAATAAAGGGGTTAGTTTGAGAAATAATAGGGTAGGAAATGGAATTATTTAAAGTTAGAGGACTAATAATGCAGTTTTCACAAAAAGTAGCACATCTTTTACAGAGGGCAACAGAGAATAACCCTTCAATCAGTTTTAAGTCAAACTCAAATCCCTAATCTGTACCAAAGGAATATGAATCTTGCTGTGCACAATCTGCAGTTTTATGGCATTATCCACCTCACTATTCTTGTCCATATGTTTTCTTAGGTGAAGTCCTGTCATTTCCCCATAAACCCTTCTGCAACAACAAGAAAAAACCAAAAATATATTGTTCAAGATCATTGTTTAGATCTCTCAATTCAAGAATCTTGCTTTATGGTACCATAATAAAATGTTAGAGATGTCTTAATAAACTGTTTTATAATAGAATCAAATATATATGTATTATATGTAAAAATGTTGTAATAAGTTTACATGATATTTATAATATAATTTAAGGGAGAAAAAAATGATGGGTTTGGAACAAGATTAGATATTTGTAATATAATTATATGGTTTCAGAAATCACCATCATGATCTGTGTAATTTCTTTATCTGTTGGGAATAGAAATAAGCCTGTAAAGTGACTTTTGGTGTGGAACATACTCTTGTTTGTTCCAACACTTTAACAAAAAACAAATTGAATTTGTATATCCTGTCTTTTTCATTTCTTTCAACTGATTAATCCATTTGTATTAACAAACCAACAAAACAGGGACCAAAAGCAACTTTTCATTAAAATTCTGATACCAATTATCAGAATTTATTTTTAAAGCATTTTCAGATACACAGACAGACAGGAGAATTCATCTCTCCTTTTCACTTTCAAAATGAAAACCAAGCCCATGCCCACATGCTTATACACCCCCTCACACCATTTTCAGGCCTGCAAATCACCAAAAAAGCTTGCCCCCTTATAATCATTATAAAAAACAAAGCATGCATACCAATGTGTTTTGTTTAAATTTTCCCCACTGAAAAGAAAAGAATTCCATAGCTTCATGCCCTCCACTGACCATAACCACCATAACCTGCAATATATTGCTGATCTTTCATCTTATCTTCAAAGAGGGATTTGGTTTTTTTTTTCTTTTGCTTTCAAAGATACAGATTTTTGGGTTGTTTCTTGAAAACCCATGGTCATGGCAATGGCTGTGATGCTGGTGGTGGTGATTCTGTGTGTTTTCATGGTGGTAGGTGAAGCTTCATTGTCTGAATCTGATAAGATTTTGAAGCTGCCTGGACAACCACCAGTTGGGTTTCAACAATTTTCAGGTTATGTGACCTTAGATGCCAAGAAAAAGAGAGCCCTTTTTTACTATTTTGTTGAAGCTGAAGTTGATCCAGTTTCAAAGCCATTGGTTCTGTGGCTGAATGGAGGTATGAAAGTGAGACCTTTTTCAAGAATGGGGAAGAAAAGCTTAATCTTTTTTCCTCTTTTTCAATAAAGTTCCAATTTTTTTTTATCGGAAAGGGGAGGAAATTGAAGCAAATTAATTGTGAATTGTGAATTGTGATGTAGGACCTGGATGTTCATCACTGGGTGTTGGAGCATTTTCTGAGAATGGACCTTTTAGACCAAATGGTCAGGGTTTGGTTAGAAATGAGTATAGCTGGAACACAGGTAAAGCAATTATTGATGAAAAAAGATAATACCCTTTTCATTTTAATTAATTTAAATTTCTAATTTTGGTCAATATTACAGAGGCAAATATGTTGTATTTAGAGACCCCAGTTGGAGTAGGGTTCTCTTATGATTCTTCAAATTCCTCTGGTTATGAAGTTGTCACTGATGCAATAACAGGTATTTTTCTGGTGCCTTCTACTTTCCACAAAATTGTTTCTTTACTTGTGTTCTTTATGCCCTAAAAAGCTTTGAGAAAAAGAAGTTAACCTTTTTTAGGAAACCTTAAAAAGTGTTCTTTTTAATGTTTATACCTTCAAAAGAACCTTAAAAGTCCCTTTCTTGATTCTGAAAAATGTAGAAAAATGGCTTCTTTATGATGTGTTCTTCCTCTTTCTCTTTCTCTAAATCTCTCTTTGCTTTTCAAAACTTTAAGCCAGGGATAATCTTGTGTTCTTGCATAAATGGTTCTTGAAATTCCCTCAATATAAGCAGAGGGATCTGTTCATTACAGGAGAAAGTTATGCAGGTAATTCTTGTATTTTTTACCACAAATTATTCATTAACTTTATGAGAATTCCCAGATTAAATTTTCAATCGTGTTTAATGCCTTTTTTTCTGGGTTAATTATTGGTACCAGGTCATTACATACCACAACTTGCAGAACTCATGGTTCGATTCAACAAAAAGCATAAGCTTTTCAATTTGAAAGGAATTGCTGTAAGTGTTACAGAATTGAACCATAATTCTTGTATTTTCTTGTTCAATTTCAGATAAATCTTTAAGATCAGAAAGAAGAAGAATACCCTCTCCATTCCAGATGTTATTTCTTTCTGCAAGTTTTGACTTATTCAAATTTGTAATCATCTGAACGAAAATTCAGAGCATCTCAATTCTCAAACAAAATTCTCTAAAATGGAGAAAGTACCTCAACTTGCAATAAGGCTTGGGTCTTTGGGATTATCTTCATAGGTAAAGCCAAATCTGGAGAACTGAATCTGTTAGTGATGCTCTTACAAAATTATTCAGCCAAATCAAATTGTGTTACAAATGCTACAAATTGCAACAAAGTTGAGCATCAATTGATTAGAAAATTCATGTTGATTATACATCTACAAAGTACTAGATTTGACTTTGGAAAGTCAACCTTTTGGACCAGCTGATAATAGCAAAAGAGATGCAAATTATACAAAGTTTTGTGTTGTGTTTGTTCTAATGTGTGTTTTGTTTTGTGTTTGTGTCAAAATGCAGCTAGGAAATCCAGTTTTGGAGTATGCTACTGATTTGAATTCACGGGCCGAATATTTTTGGTCTCATGGCCTTATATCAGATTCGACGTATAAATTATTCACTTCTGCATGTAATTATTCGCGTTATGTAAGCGAATACTATAGAGATTCGGTTTCACCCATATGTTCCAAGGTTTATAGTCTAGTAAGCAAAGAAACCAGTAGATTTGTGGACAAATACGACGTTACTCTAGACGTTTGTATTCCATCCGTGCTCTCCCAATCCAAGATCATTAGTCCTCAGGTTCGTATTCTTGATAAATTAAAACAAACGTAATACTTGCTTTGATGGAATTTGAGGTTATGTTACTCATACCCGTTATACCTACATTTTATTGCAGCAAGTAACCGAGAGGGTTGATGTTTGCGTGGAAGACGAAACTGTTAATTATCTGAACCGGCGTGACGTCCGGAGAGCCCTACATGCACGCTTGGTTGGAGTCCGAAAATGGGAAGTTTGTAGCAAGTAAGGCTCTGTTTGTTCATACTGTATGTCTATCTTAATATATACAGACTCATTAATCATCGGTGATCTAGAACCTTGAGAGCCAGCTCAATTGGCAAATGAATGCCTGGCCTTGGGGATCCTTTGCAATCCCATAGGTCAACAGTTTGAGTCTTCTCAGGACTACCGGGGATTTTTCTGACTGGCGCAAGTTGGCCTGGACACCCATATTTACCAAGAAAAATAATCAATGTCTGCAAACATAATTGTGTTCCGCTTGATCTGAATCTATATTTATTTGTTTTTGGCCTGTAAACCAGCATCCTAGATTATGAACTGCTCAACATCGAGATACCTACGATCAACATTGTGGGATCACTCATCAAGGAAGGAATTCGAGTTCTAGTTTATAGGTAAACAAAATGCTTCTCATCCTCAGTCTTGATTAATGTACAGCTAAATTTGAGTTCCAGAGTCGAATCTAGTACTTTTTGAATTTAATCTTCTAACTGTTCATGATTTTAAGATCAAGAAAGCAGGTTATTTTGTGCATACTAAGTGAAATCTATTCTTGATTAAATCCAGTGGTGATCAAGATTCCGTAATTCCTTTGATGGGAAGTCGGGCTTTAGTCAATGGACTCGCTACAGAACTGGGACTCAAAACAACTGTACCATACAGAGTTTGGTTCGAGGGACAGCAGGTAACGAACTAATTTTTCAGAACAATAAAATCGTCTTTATAGCACCCCAAATATGTGTAAATGTTCTAATAGACTGTTTTATAAGACTTAAATTTATAGGACCAAACAATTGTATATCTTATGAATGTGTTACAATAAGTTGATAGAATGTTTCCGGGCGTTCTAACAAGTTTTTTAGGACACTTTGGGAATAACACATCCTACTAGTCTTTTTATACGACATTATTTGAAAAAAATTCTTATAAGAACAAATGTTTTATAAAAGGATGTATTCAATATAAAAAAAGCTAATGAGTAAAAAAAGTGTCTTATAAAACTTGTTAGAATGCCAAAAAAATGTCTTATCAACTTATTGTAATACATTTACATAGAAAGCAATTATTTGGTCCTATAAACTCAAATAGTATAAAGTATTTTATTAGAACATCTAAAAATTTATGGCTTCAGCTCATGGGATCCATTTAGCACCCTTGCTTTGCATGGGTTGAAATTGCATGCATCAAAAGTCGCAGACTTGATGGAGGATCGGATTCAGATTCTGACTATCATCAAATACATATTATTTCAGGTCGGAGGATGGACTCAAGTTTACGGAAATATATTCTCGTTTGCAACCGTTCGAGGTGCATCACATGAAGCTCCATTTTCGCAACCTGAGAGATCGCTGGTGTTGTTTCGATCATTTCTAAAAGGAAATCCCTTACCAGATGCGTTTTGACAGTTGAAAGTACAAATATCTATATATAATTTGGATTTGATTTGGCATTTTGTAAGTAAATTTTGTCATATGATAATTAATGGTAATTTGTAATTGAGTTTTTACCTTTTCTTTTTGAATTTTTTTAACTTGTAAGTGTTGGTCGAAATTGAAAGAACAATTGCGAGATATGCTTGAATGTTAATTACCTTGCTTTCGATTGAATCCTTTTTTGTCATATTGAAACGGTTTGATTGATCGATGCTGCTTCTGTTAACAATGGCAGCCGATTGGTGGTGGCCGACCACCTGTTGTTTAAGGTGTTGTTGCTTCCTTTAATGGTGGCGTCAGGCGGCAGATCACCTGTCGCAGGTGCTGCTTTTTCTTTAAACATGACGTACGGCCACCTGTCAAAGGTGATGCTGATTCCGTTGGTAATGGCGGTCATTAACTGGCTTTTGAAGATGTTGCCGCTTGGTGGCTGCCCGGCGGTTCACGGCCGTGGTGATTCTACAATGAATGTTTTAGAGAGGAGATGTAAGAAATTTCTAGAGAGAGAAAACGGATCTGTTTCTACGTTAATGAGCGAGTATCGTATGAGCAACGTTATGGGACGCAATAACTAATTTTTAAACGAAACATAAGTTACACTTTACTACCCTAAACTATTTATTATTCCAAATGTAACCCAAGTATTAACATTGTGTGGTATTGACTCATTAACTTTTTTTTTATTAACTTGGATATCCAACCCGCTATGCGAGCCGACTAATCTCAGGACAACCACCTGCTTTGCAGATAACCCGGAGTCACTGCATTTGAACCTCCATGGCCACAAGAGGATCTTTATTTCTCCTTGGATTTGAACCTGTGACCTCTTGGTACTTTTGATCTTTGGAGCCAAGCTCAAACCAATCAGACACCACCCTTGTGGTTGACTTATTAACTTTTGCATCGACTCCACCTAGTAATCAAGTGTTTTTCTTTGTAAACGAATATATTAAAACCGTTTGGTTACATGAATTGTAGTAACTACTGAGAAAATGGAAAACGAGCCATGTACGTCTATATATCCTTGTGGGCATTTTATGAAATAAAAGATATTTGATCATTGGTATTTGTCTAAAATACCCTTGTAAAGTCGTAATCAATGACCAACCTCTAGGGAAACTTGGGTATCATGTACATGCTTGCCTTAATATTTTTATATAGTTTTGAAAATGCAGATGAGACAACAAACACGTTTCCTAGTTTTTTTAACTAGGAAACTTTGGCCTCCTAGAGGTCAAGGGTTCAAAACCTCATCAGAGGTGATGAAGGTGTGTGTGAATTTTATTTGTTCTATTTATCGTATATAAATATTATATATTTCAAAAAAATATAAAGAAATGAAAAAAGTTAGTTATTTCTATCCAAAGGCGAATAACGGATGTCAGGTTAAGATGGAAAGTGGCTTTTGACGGCTGATTAATGGTTCAAGGACCTAATGTGTTCCAAGAAAATGATCAGGGGGTTTGTAGACAATTTACCAAACATTGGGGGTGTATTCGGTCATCAACCATTAAAAGGAGTCTGTGTATATTGCCACCCCTGACCGACGGTGGTGAAAAACCGATAGCAACCGTCTCCGTCTCCGTCTCCCGCCTTCCCGAAGATCTGGAAAAAAGTGGGAAGCAAGAGAATAAAAAAGCATAAAAGGTTTCAGACAGCTTTTATCCAAATCAAATGATGGCGGCCAATGAGACCAAAGATGACCTTTACGCTCTCGCTCTCCAGGTATCCCTAACATTTCTTTATCATTTCAAAATCTTTTTCTAACTGTCTTTTCAATTTCACTTCAAATACACACCTGTACTTGTAACTACGACGGATCTAGGGCTTTGCATTGTTCCGTACACCTAATTTTATCTCTAATTTACATATGTATATGTATAAATATGCAGAAAGAAGAAGAAGATAAGTATAAGGAGTATGGTTTCGGATCTGACGAGACTGATCCTCCTCTGCCGCTTACTGTCGCCTCTCGGGTTTGTTTCTTTACTCTGTGAGAGTATTATTATTATTATTTTTGAAAAAGCCTCATGAATTAATGCCCTAAAGCTAACATTCAGTAGTATTTGTCCCCAATCTTCACAAATTATAGGAAGGGGTCTCAGTTTTTGGAACGGAGGGAATGTTGTGTGTTTGTGTGTGTGATGATGCCCTGACTACGTTGATTAGTTTTAGAGGTGAAGTGATATTGGTTGGTGCAGGTATTATACATGTTAGGTGATATTGCAGCAGGCCCAGCTTTTCGGTTTAGTCAATGGCTGGAATTAGTGCGGAAGCGAAGCAGCAAGTCTAAGGCCTCTGGATTCCCTCACCGCCCTCAAAGACTAGATAGTATGCTCTTGAGGTCATTTTGCAGTTCCCCCATCTCTCTTCTTATGTTTGATTGATTAGTTGCTACTTTATGGTTTGGAATTTGTGTAATAAATCGATCATACGAAAGGGGAGGGGAGATTTGCTTTGTATACTTGTCAGTTTAGCTTGTGGTTTAACTCTCAAGTAGATTCCGGTATTTGGATTTATTTATATAACCATACTGGACTATACATGTACTTGCACATATATCCGGAATCTGGAACTTCTTTTGAGATTCGGAACCTCATACTTGTTTTAGTTAGACCATTAAGTTTTATGTTTTGGTTTTTGGTGATGTGCCAATATGCTTTTAAGAGAAACACGGTGCATTTTGTATTTGATGCTCTAACAAAGGCTAGAGATTTCTATGTCATGTAATTGGAATCTTGATTGCTTAATCGGTATGTGTGGTCATTGCTGTTCAGTGCAGGAGATTTAAGCTTGGAATCAAATAATTCTCCTCCTGAGCAAGTTACAGAAATCAGTTTGTGGGAAAGACTTGGTAAGGCTGCTATGTTGAACATTGAGTCAAGCTCCTTCTCTTGGGACATGCTTTCTTCACTTCATCACACTGAACATAGTAGCTGCAATGATTCTGAGGATGATATGAATAAAGCACTAGAGGTATGTATGTTTAGGATTTTTGTGTTTCTTTTACTTCCCTTGTGATTTAGACCTAAAGGATAACAATTTTTAGATGAGCGAACTTAGGTTAGAGAGGTTGGTTGGTTTTCTTCATCTCTTTCCACATACCTATTTATTTTAAATCGTCAATCTTGTCTGCTTCTCGTGTCTCTATTTAATTACTCAAATGTGATTCTTTTTAAACTACTCAACCAAATCTGGTGCATTGGGCCGTGTTAGGAGCAAATTCTCTTTTCTGTCAGTGGCTTCTTAGAATTTCTGCTGTGATCCCCCTATGAGCTGAACATATGAAAGTTCAGTCATGCCTGTCTACCTGCGGAAGTTATTAAGTTAATATGTATTATAGAGGTTATCTTTGTAAGATATAAGTTTTGCTGGTTTCTTCATCTCTTTTTGGAGTCCTACTATACTCCTAGGGTGTTGTTAAAAGGGAACATTTATGGAATGATGTGCATGTGTCTCTGGCTCATGTCACACCTCTTTTCCAGATTAATGTCCCAAGTTCCTTTTAGAGATCTTTCAATCGGATGGCACATCTCCAAGATTAATATGCCAAGTTCTTTTGTTTAAATTTAAAAGCTCAAGCATCTTAGAAATTACACGGGAGAAACCTTTTGTAAGTTGGAGTTTTAGCAGTTTCAGATTTATTACCAACAATTTAACAGTGATATCGGCCTGCAATACGAAGCTTTATATGATAACCATATTTAAGTACTCTATATTCAAGTTCCATCGAACTTCAGCCCTCTCATGTTCTTTTTCTTATCAGTTTATTGCTAAGGGAATGAAAGCTGACAAAATTGCTTGTTTGTATGATTATATCAAGTACAGGTGACGGTAAATTCTGGGGGGGTTGTATTCTTTGCACTATTTAACCATAACAAAGGTGGTGAGTTTCTCCCCAAGGAAGCAGCAGCTGTTATAAAAATAGCATCTTCTAGGATGGCTACACAATCGGAGCGGCTTGGCTATGAATTTGCAAAATGGCTAGGTGTCAGAACTCCACAAGTTAGTATACCTTCTTACTTTCTCTGTACCGAATTTACCTTCCCTGCAAACGCCTGAACATCTTACAACATTGTAATTTCTGCAGGCTAGAGTCATTCACAATTGTAGTTCAGAGTGGTTAAAGATCAAGGAAGCTGCAGAAAAAGCAAGAGAGACGGTCGTTTCTGATGGAGATGAAGTTGGTGAAATGACATGCTCAGAACTCATAGAAGCCCTTGAACTGAGTCGATGCCTTTATCTGATGAAGTACATTTGACCTACTCTATACTTGAACTGATCTAATTGATCAACTACCCCTGAAAGTTCTACTGCTTGGTCTGTTTATGTACGTTTTACGAGGCCTCTAGATAGAAACAAAATTCCCCATATCCATCATGTAGATGACCAGTAATCCAATGAGGAAACTACTGGCTGCCTAGTTCACATGATGCTGTTGACCTAATTGTACTGAATTGGGAGCCTGCCTAAATCACTACACTAGAATGTGTTAATTTTTTTTAATTTTGCACATATGGTTCAAACATTCTGTCCTAGTTCCTTAAATACCTAATTACTGTTAGAATGTATGTTCCTTTTGACATCTAATTACTATCTGCTTTCTCCCCTGGTCTGCTTTCATTTGCTAATTTATCCATTTCTGTTATCCCTCTTTTCTACTATATTTAAGGTGATGTGATCATAAATTAATTTTAAAAGACATTCCTTTTTGCAGTTATGTGCATGGTTCCCCTCTGCTGGAAAACTCAAGTGCATTTACGACCCAAGAAGCTGCAGAAAAAACGTCAGCAGCCCTTGGCAGAATCTTGATGTTGGATCTTGTCATCAGAAATGAAGACAGGCTTCCCTGTCGTCATCTCCGTTGGCGAGGGAATTCTGCAAACCTATTGTTAGCAGACAAAATGGCCACTGCAAATAGGGATGCATTGGAAGAAGCCTTTGATTCTGCTATTAATAGATACAGACCAAGAGTAATACGGGCACTTCAGAAAGAAAGAAGGTCGACTTCAGTAGATAGCAGATTGAGTGCTGGTGGTCCAGATTTAGCATCTAAGAGTTCTGATACTGTATTAGGATCTCCTATGTCTGGTGAAAGGACCCTTACAAGACAAGTTACAATTGATCCAATAATAACCGATTTTGACGTTGTGGCTATCGACTCTGTTGTCCCTCGTCGGCCACCAGCTGGAAAACGTGCACATGACCAAGAAAACTATCCTAAACTTGTTGAACTCCTTATCAACAGTCCTGAGTATGCATCACATCTCTTATACGAGATAACTATTGGGAAACTAGGAGTTCCTCCAGAAGCTGTTGAAACACCTGACAATTTGCCTTTTAAAGACATGACCTCGGTTATTCATGAATTCCGGAGTGGGTTTCGTGCAGCCCTCATGGACTTGCAGGGTTTTCATATATTTCTTCTCACACTTCACCAGAAGTTGGACAGTCTCTTACGGGCTTTCATGAATATTATAGATAGAACTTCCGCTGGGGATTTTGAAAAAGAAGATTTGATGTTACTCGAGCCCTCATCACATTCTGCTGGAGGTCTCCATTACCTTTCCCCACAAGGTAAGGAACGTGGCGTCCATGATAGCCAGTCAGATTCAAATGATACAGAGCTGCAAAAAACAGCTCCCAAGGTATCATCTTCAGGATTCAAAGAGAACTTAGAATCAACTTCTCCAATGTCACGTGATGCTTCACATGGAAAGTCTAATAAGGGGAGTGCAGAACCCCTCCGTACCATGCGCATGACCACAAAGCTACGTGACTTCCACAAACATGCTAAGGTTTTACTCTTTAACAAACTGAAGGCTTCCTGTTTGTTTACACAAATCTTTAAAATACTTATCTGCTCTAAAGGGTTCTTGGCATTGGGAGAAAGATTTAATAGAAATCTGTGGACTCTCTCTGCAGAGAAAATGTTGCCGCAGATCTTCAACCATGTTTTGTTATCTGTTTTCCCATTGTTATCAAGCCATAAAGAACATGGGAAAGGTTTTGTTAGAATATTCTATAGTAGACAAAGGTGCACTGTCAAATCTAACAACAAATAACTTCTTCTTTTACATTATGTGCAATGTTTCGGACAAAAAATATACCACACAACTACTGCTTAGAATTATTAAGTGTTTCAAGTCTGCAATTCAATGATGATATGATAATCCTTTACTTGTCTGTGTTAAGCAACCTTTTGATAGTATATGGTGGTCGTTTGGTGTTTTTAGGGCTCTTACATGTTTGAGTTTCTTGTCTCTCCTTTAAACTCGGGATCTCTCTGATCAAACGTTGTGATTTGCTCTCATATTGACAGATATGAATAATCATTTATTATTAATTTAGAATTTCCCATGGATATTCATTGTTACTGATTTTTTGCCGCAATTCTTATGATATTTTCTTCTGTCAAATTATATTGGATAACCAAAGTCGACCGTGAAAGTTTAGCTGCAAATCCTGGGACTACATAAAGTATTATGGACACTTGTTAGTTGACAAGATTCTAGTTGAATCTAATTATCTTTTGTTCTTCCTCAGGTTGATGCTGAACTAAACAAAGCATTAGAGCAATGGAATGAATTGCTAAAAAGTGAAGCACTTAAGCTGTGTCAAGAGAATAATTTCAATTCAGGGTTTTTTGAGGGCAGCGATAATAATGCTGTTGTTGATGCTTACGAATTGAAGGTAATTTGTCCAAACTACCATAAAATATTCTCCCTATTAGCAAGCATCTGATTGATAGAGTTTCTGTTTGCTTATTCAACTTACAGCTTAGGCTTGAGCATATTCTCGAGAGGATATCATTAATATCCGATGCTGGAAATACAGAAAAACCTTCATCAATTACAGGTAGCCTATTCATTGGAGGGGCATTAGCTGCGAGATCTGTTTACACTCTACAACATTTAGGGATTACACATATCTTGTGCTTGTGCTCTAATGAAATCGGACAGGCTGATTCTCAACGGCCAGACTTATTTGAGTACCAAAACTTTTGTGTAAGCAATTAATTCCTTTTTTTATTTTTCGTATGCGGGTTTGGTGTTGTTTGTTTGCTGCTCACTTTCTCCTCAATTTGAATTTATTCTTCACTCATATCTCACAAAAATTAGTCAGGTAATGAACGTAAGCTATCAAATTAATCAAAGCCATTCACATTTTTATTGCATCAAGTACGTTTTGGTTGTTGAACTGAAAAGTCAATAAAACAAATAAGTTGATTGCAGGATTTGTTCTGGCATCAAGTTGGTTTTGGTTTTTCGACTTAGAATCCAATGAAGAAATGTAACTGATATTTAACTTTCTGTGATGAGCAGATTAATGATGAAGAAGACTCGGACATCAGCCTGATTTTTGAAGAAGCGCATCAATTTATCAATGATGTTGAAAAGAAAGGTGGGAAGGTTCTGGTTCATTGCTTTGAAGGGAGAAGCAGGAGCGCAACTGTTGTTCTTGCTTACTTAATGATCAGGAAGTAAGTACTTGTGAGCTTTATGTTATGAACCAGATAGATTGAACAATTAAAATAAAAGCAATGGGAAGAAACAGTAGCCTGATGCTTCGATTAACAAGAAAAAGATAGGAAACTAGCTATTCGAGAGGCTAGACTCTCTCGAAACACACTCAATATTTTCTGGATACCCTACTCTCCCGCCACACGCCTATTTATACTATAATTTATTCTAGAGCATATAAACCTATTGGTGGGCTTGGGCAGTGCATAGCACTTTATTGATGCAACCTCTATTAAAATCATTAGACTGCCTAGGTAAGAATTCAAATGTTACAAGGATGTCTTTTTGTTGCATTTCTGGTTATTTAGCTATATATACAGATAACCTATGTGGGTCCAAGTTAACTTTCATGTGCAAAATGGTTACAAATTTATTGAGATAGATGAGTAGTAAATCAGGTTGTTGTTGCAAGGTTTCAAGATGTGAAATGCTTAAAAAAACTACAACTTTTAGAACTAATGATATTCTCACAAAATAATAAGAAACCTACCGGTGTGGTTGTAACTTTGCTTGGTTAAATGTTTTACCCATGATTAATTATTCAACTCTAATAAATAAACAACTTCATCTACAAAAGGAAATGATGATTAGTTTAATGGTAAATTTTGGTCATTGCCATAGTTTTACCGTCTTATTTTTTGGCCGTTGCTATATGTTTACTGTTTTATGTGTCCTTGTTTGTTTTACTCCTTCCGTCCCAAAACAAATGTCCACAATGAAAATGATACACAGTTTTAAGAATGTGTAATTATTACACTTTTGGAATAACTAAATGACATATTTACCCTTGATAATAGAGAGCGAAACTTTCTCCATCTCAAAATTAAGAGTAAATTGGAACGTGGAAACTTACTTTTGAAAGTGAACTTTTATTTTGGGACAAACAAAGATAGAAATCTGGGAATTTAATTTGTGATGGAGGGAGTATTTTATGTCCCTCTCGTGTCCCTGCTCCCTTCTTTTGTTCACTGTACCCGTGGCTTGTTTGCATACACTCCTCTGCTACTTTTCTCATCTGTATCCTTGTATTTTTCATTTTGCAAGCCGAGATTTTCACAGAAACAGCTTCTCTACCCCTTAGGGTAGAGGCAAGGTGTGTGCAAATTATTACCCCAGACTCTACTTACGTGTGGGATATCTTGGATTTGTTCGGTTTGGTTTATAGATTTCTTCCTGAAAACACAAACTATGGTGTTGAGGGTAATTTTGTCAATTCATATAAGAATTTTATAAGAGAACTACTCTACTAAAATTGTTGTTATTTTATGAAGGAACTTCACATTATTGAAAGCGTGGAATACCCTAAGAAGAGCACACAGACGAGCACAACCCAATGACGGGTTCGCTAAGATACTTGTGGAGTTGGATAAAAAGTTGCACGGAATGGCTTCGATGGAATGGCAACAGAAGAAGCCCGCAATGAAGGTTTGCCCAATCTGTGGCAAGAACGCAGGCTTAAGCAGCAGCTCATTGAAGCTTCATTTACAGAAATCACATAAGAAATTGTCGTCAGGGAGCGTAGACAGTGCCATGACCATGGAGATACAAAAGGTTTTGGAGGCACTCAACCTTACACAAAGACAATCGCATTCCAGCGATTGATGAATCTAATGTCATCTAGTTAAATGACCTTCTGACAGGATTTTTTTAAATCCATAACCTTCTACAGGAAGAATATATTTTTCATAAACAAGAATACGTAGAGAGGATATTTAGGTGTATAACCTTAAACGGAATTTTGATCAAATGCATGACCTTCTGACCTATTAAAGAGAAAATGGTTCCATTTTTTGAGAAAGTCATGGGTTTAATTAAAATTTCATTTAAGGTTATATATCTAAATATAACTGGCTTGTATAACCCTGTCAGATAGTTATGGATTTAAAAACAAATAACCCACTTACAAAACCTATGTATGTTGTATGATTTGCATAACCATAAGGCTGCGTTACATGTACATCAATGCAACAAACAATTGTGGAAGATTCAAATTCTAACTGCTCTTCTCTCATGTAAACTGAGACATTTTTGCTTTTATTAAATTTGTAAAATTACATTTTTAATTAAATCATGTTACTTTTCTTTTAGGAAAAATTGCATAAAATAATAACTTATTCTTCATTGATTTTCATGGAATTTTTTTTACAGTAAATTGCAAAATATATATCTGAATTTCTTTTTCTATTTTAGGCAATCTACTTCTCATTGTTTTGCAAGAAATAACAACCTATATGTTGTATAAAATAGAAGAAACTGGAAGGTAAAATAATAAAAATTGAGGGAAAGTGGGTTATAATTTATCATTTTAGTTAAAAAATAGTTTATTCTTGTTAGTATTTACTTAATTTGTATTAATTATAACTATTATATAATATTTAAAATCATCAAATAACTTTTGGGGTAGCTTGTCTAGTTCTGTCCCGTCCAGTCCTAGTCGTACCAAACACCAGACATACTCCTGTTATGTCCAGTCCTACCCTCTTGTTCTGTCATGTCCAATTATATCTGCATACCAAATGCTACCTTATCATACATCTATAGATAAACCAAAGAGTCCCCTATCTCAGCCAGTTTGCAAAAACTGAAATAATGACCAACTTTGTCATCAAAAAGCGAAAGATCAAGAATTTTAAACCACAATTCAACCACTCCAACCTTACAAAATCTTGCACATTTAGTTGGTATATACAAGCCTTGGAATGTAGAACCTAACTCAAATAACTTTTTAAGGAGGAACAAAAATAAACACACAACAGCTTGTAACCAAAACCCCCACCAACATATGCAGGTAAAATGTCCAACAAATGACTTGGTCTACACTGCAACGGGTTCCGGCAAGGCCCCGCCACCGAGGACCGTCACGTTACCGTCGGAATCAACATCAACAATGACCGAATCACCCTCCTTGATCTCACGTGCAAGCATCTTTTCCGCCATGCTATCCTCCAAAAGCCGCATTATGGCTCTTCTTAGCGGCCTTGCTCCATAGCTCGGGTTATAACCTTCATCCACCACTCGATCGCGGAATCTTTCCGTCACCTGAAGTTCTATTTCTTTACCCTTTAGCCGCTCGAATACTTCCTTCAGCATTATGTCCGCTATTTCCTTCACTTCCAACTTCGTCAACTGTCTAAACACAATCATTTCATCCAGTCTGTTCAAGAATTCCGGCCTAAAATATTGTTTAAGTTCCTCTGTAACCAGGCTTTTGATTCTATTGTAACTGCTATCTTTCTCATCGTAATCAAGATCGAATCCTATCCTTCGTCCACCCTTCTCGATCACGTTACTTCCTACGTTTGATGTCATGATCAAAAGCGTGTTCTTGAAGTCAACTGTTCGTCCTTTGCTATCGGTCAACCTTCCGTCTTCGAGAATCTGAAGCATCATATTGAATACATCGGGGTGAGCTTTCTCAATTTCGTCGAAGAGGACCACGGTGTAAGGACGGCGTCGGACTGCTTCAGTTAGTTGACCGCCTTCGGTGTAGCCAACATATCCAGGAGGTGAACCGATGAGCTTTGAGACTGTGTGCCGCTCCATGAACTCACTCATATCTAGACGAATCATGGCTTCTTCGGAACCGAAGTAGTAGGTGGCTAGTGATTTTGCAAGTTCGGATTTTCCGACACCTGTGGGTCCTGAAAATATGAAACTGGCTATGGGACGGTTAGGGTTCTTGAGACCGACACGTGCACGGCGGATAGCCCGGCTTATGGCTTTCACGGCTTCATCTTGACCGATGATTCGTGTGTGGAGGGTATCTTCCATTTTGAGGAGGCGATCGGATTCATCACTAGAGACTTTCTCTACGGGTATACCGGTCCAAGTAGAGACTATATGTTGGATGTCGGCTTCCGTCACAGTGACACCAACATCACTCGCCTCGCTCTCTGCCTTGTTCATTTCCTTGTTTTTTTCAATTAGAGCCGATATCTGAGTCTTTAGATCCATTTCTCTATCTCGTAGCTCTCCTGCCTGTTTGAAATTCGAAACATTCACGAACCATGGGTATAAAATTGCGACAATTTTCATTTGGGAACGGTTTCATGTTACAATTAATCAACTTATATTATACCTTTTCGAAGTCCTGGCCACGGACAGCTTCGTTCTTCTCCTTTGTAATCTGTCTAAGCTCTTTTTCAAGTTCTCTTGCTTCCTCGGGTAGCTAGGCAAGCAACCAAATTTCTCCCAGTTAGCCGAGGGAAAATCAATAACGAAGAAAAATGAATACGCGACAAAAGAGCAACTACATGTACCTGTGCATGGTGAAGCCGAACACGAGATCCAGCTTCGTCAAGCAAATCAATTGCTTTATCGGGAAGAAATCTGTCACTGTAACATATAAAGACAATCATCAAATTTTTAACAAAAAATAGCACAATGGTTCAGCAAGTGGACGGCTAAGAATACAATTTTATTCCCACAACACGTGTTATCCTTCCTACGATGCTTTCTGGAGTTACAAGATACAAAGACAGGAATCCGAGTGATCTCCAGATGCAGATAAGGGACTGTTTGGTTGGCTTTCTATTGAGTCTTGTATGGACAAAGATGTCTATGAATTAATCTGTCTGTATAGATTGGGAAGATTTTTGTTTGGAGGAGTTTTTCATGGATGAAAGGAGTGTGTATTTTCATTGGGAAGGGTAGGTTCGAGAAAAACTTGGCTTTCTACATAAAGCTCCCCGTTTCTATTTCATTAAGTTACTACCAAACTGTCATGTAAGGCTGACCAAATAAGCTTCGAGTCTCATTAAGCTCATTAAGCTGCTAACAAACAGGCCCTAAGATACCTTATATATTGGTGGGACAACTCCGCTGCAGCAACTAAAGCATCATCAGTGTAATGAAGCTTGTGGTGTATTTCATATCGCTCTCGAAGTCCCCTCAAAATCTGTATTGTTTCATCAACAGACGGCTCAGGCACCTTAACGGGTTGGAATCGTCTCTCCAATGCTGGGTCTTTCTCGATATGCTTTCGGTATTCATCAAGCGTCGTAGCCCCAATACACTGTCACATAAGATGCATCAACCCGACTTTAGAAAGTTGCAGTAAATACTTGTATTTAACAAAAAAAAGTCACTTATGGCAATAAGCTTTGAAGCAAAGAATCGAGTGTCCAGTATGCATCATTGCTTACCTGCAATTCACCTCTAGCAAGAGCTGGCTTCAATATGTTAGCAGCATCAATAGCTCCTTCTGCTGCTCCAGCTCCGATTAAAGTGTGAACCTCATCAATGAACAGAATTATGTCTTCGCTTTGTCTAATTTCTTCCATCAACTTCTTTAATCTTTCTTCAAACTCCCCACGGTATTTTGTGCCAGCAACAAGTAGACCCATATCTAGGGTTATTACCTGAAATATATTAGAAAAGAAAATAAATTTAAACACGATGAATAACAAACAAATGCAACTCCTTTTGACCAAGTCCATGGACTGAACCCATATAATGAAGCATATACTATTTTCAGAGGTTATGTGCCCAACACTTGTGATGTTTAACGTCATTAAGAGGTTGTTTGGTTGGTTTTCCATTAAGTCCTGTATGGATAAAGCTGTCTGTGTGGATTAATTTGTCTGTATGGATTGAGAAGGTTTTTGTTTGGGAGGGTTTTTTCTCAAATGGAAGGAGTGTGTTTTTTAATTGGGAGGGACATGTATGGAGAAAACTTGGCTTTCTTCATAAAGCGCTCTCCTAAAAGCTTAATGAACAAGCCACTTTCTATATCATTAAGCCACTATCAAGCAGTCATGTATAGTTGACTGAATAAGCTGTGAGTCCCATTAAGTTGCTAACAAACAGACCCTAAGTCAGACTCACCTTCTTCCCCTCGATTGTTTCAGGGACATCACCATTTGCAATTCTTTGGGCAAGGCCTTCTGCAATGGCCGTCTTTCCTACACCAGGTTCTCCAATGAGGCAGGGATTATTCTTTGTCCGACGTCCCAAGATCTGGGTGACTCGTTCAATTTGTGGCTGCCTTCCAACAACAGGATCCAGCTTACCCTACAGTGAAAAAGCCAGCTTTAAAACCAATGTCGCGTGAGAAGCAAAATTCATCTCTAGAAAACCAGTACCAAAAACTACCTCCTCAGCTAGCTTCGTCAAGTTTGTGCCATATTCCTCCAGCGTTGGCATCTTGCTGCCAGAGCTTCCACCTCCAACATTAGCACCCACAGCTTCTCCACTCTCACCAACCATTCTAATCACCTGATCATTATATGTATATAAAAAAAATTGGTAAGACTTTTTTCAACGAAGAAAACTGAGCAATATTAAAGAAATAGCAAGCAAGGATGAAAACTTAAAGGGAAAAACGCATGCCTGAGTGCGAATGTTATTGGGGTCAGCTCCTAAATTCTCCAGAACACGGGCTGCAACACCTTCTCCCTCTCGAAGCAAACCAAGTAGCAAGTGCTCTGATCCAATATAGTTGTGCCCTAAAACATTGAGCATGTTTGGCTATCAAATGATGTTCGTTTTCATTAGCTTCTACCAAATTCAATCTACTCTCGTAATATCCATCATATAGAGACACGAACCGACTATTGTGCTACACCACAAAGCTAAGAATTGGGGTTTTGAGGCCTTCTTTAGGGTAGTCACGGGAAGTTATTAAGTCGAGGACACAAAAGGTTATCTAAATCTACCACAAGCCAGAAAAAATGTAAAGGTTTCAGACTATAATACACCTAAGAGCATCAGGTAGTAGCTAGAAAGTAACATATAAGAAAACTAAATATGTTGGCTAAATTGAATAGAAAGCTGAAGAAGAAGAAAAACAAAATATTGAACAGCAAAGTGAGATAAAGAGGAGTGGGAGTGAACACACCAAGTTGGCGGGCTTCCTCCAATGAGAGTTCCAAAACACGTTTAGCTCGAGGAGTAAATGGGATCTCAACAGCAACAAATCCACTACCCCTGCCAATAATTTTCTCTACTTCCACACGTGCATCCTTCAAATTGATTCCCAACGACTTCAGAACCTTGGCGGCAATACCAGTTCCTTCACCGATAAGACCTAGTAATATTTGTTCAGTGCCAACAAAATTGTGGCCTAGACGACGTGCCTCCTCTTGGGCAAGCATAATAACTTTTATAGCCTTCTCGGTAAAGCGCTCAAACATGGCTTTTGGTACAAATCGGCTAACCTTTCGTCGTCGACCAGATGTTGCCAAAGCAACCTTAGAATGGAAATCATGACCGTTTCTCAGAATGTTATCCAAAGCATTGGATACCCGCAATCCTGAAAAGGTTCTCATCCTCATGGGAGGAGCATATGAACTGCACATCATTTTAACTGTTCTTTTCACCTTCCCGGTTCCATTTGCCTGAAGCTTCCGTTCACGGACACCAGAAGAGAAGTATGCAGAGTGAACTAGAGCCCCAGCCATAGCTGCAGCCAACCAAAATTAATTTGTGATGCCCGTTCAGTAGTTAGCAGTGAAAAAAAATACTCAAGGTATGCTGCACCATAACATTGAAGAAGACGACAAACAAACAACCAAATTGCATGTATTTTTTTTTAGTCCCATAAAAACGAAAGGCAGAAAAGCGATGGTCACATAATAAAAAAAAAACTTAAGACCAGGGCGAACACGTAAATGCAACAGATTGTACTTCTTACGTTCAAAAGATAACTAGCAATATCTAATACAATATCTTACTAACTTCAAAGCGATCATAAAAGGACCGAGTTGTGGACAGCACATTCAAGGGATCAAGCTCATCTTAAAACCCCATATCTAGAACTTACTCTCAAAGGCAACGGAAGACAAGAACTGTTCTTGCCAGCAGGATTTAGACAGACTTGTCTACATGTTAAATAAATTTAGAAGTGAGGTATATCAAAATAGAAAAACATAGATATCTATTCTAAGTTAACCACATTTCCAAGCTGGTTTATTTTCTATAAAATTCCTGATCTTTTCATAATTTGTACACAGCCACATAGATGCAATACATTATCGAAACAGAGTAAGGGAGCGTTCGATTTGATGGAATGGTTTTGAGGGATTTGGATTTCGTGGAAGGATTTGGATTTGGATTTTTTGGTGTGTTTGGTATGTAGGATTTCAATTTCATTTTTCATAAATAGTTCATTAAAAAATTATAAAAATAATTAAATTACCTTTTTATTAACTGATTGTTACAAAACAAATAATTTTAACCTATTTTAGAACATTATTATATACAAATAATATGAAATCCCGTGAAATACCAACTACACCCATGGGATTTCAAAATCCTATGTTTGCGGGATTTCAAATTTCAAGTCCAGAAAATCCTTCAAACCAAATATGGGATGGGAATGGAATTCAATTCGAAATACTTCCAATCTAATCCAATCCCGCAAACCAAACAGGATCTAAAAGTCTTTCAGATTGAAGTAAAGAAGCAGACAATTAAGCCAAAACAGAAGCTTTCAGAGCATCAAACCTTTTTCATTATAATGAATGACTTATACAACCAACTTAACTTCTATATTGAATTAACCAGTGAAATGAAGTGTGTTAACTGTCTCTGAAGAAAGTATCATTTATATAGAACAAGATTTGAATTTAGTCTAGACAATAGATGATAAAGAGTTGAGCATACTAGAAACCAAAATAACAATGTACAGTTCAAAAATATAGCGTAATGCTTAAGCAGCAATATGAATCTACAATTATGTGGGTAAGTTAGAGAATGAACAACTAACTTCACATTGATATAAATGCAGTCTTGTGCAATGGGTCAAATTCAACATCACATGACCAATTTTCGTTCCAGAGTTCACAGCTTAAAAGATCATCATCACAAACAACAGGAAATTGACCAAAATAGCCAATACCATCAACCAAATTCACTTTTCAGCCACATTTCAGAGCCTCCTCCAAAAAAAACCAAAATTTTACACAGAAATTTGAATCCTTACGCAGAAAATTGAAAAAAAAATCAGCATAAAGATTCAAATTTCTGCGTTTCCTGATTCAAATTTCTGCGTTTCCTGATTCAAATTTCTGCGTTTCCTTTACTTTTTTTTTTTTCCAGAAATCAAATTTCTGCCTAAACTTTGGCTAAAACGGGAATTCAATTGGAAAAATGGCTAAAAAGTGAAGTTGGTTGGGGAGATTGGCTATTTTGGTCAATTTCCGACAAACAATCGCTAATCACTGATCACTACAAGATTATGCTCGTTAAACATCGGATAAACAAATAAGTAACCAAATCACACGCGGAAATGCAGCATATTTAAAATCACAGATTCCGCCCAGTTCGATACTGCACGAATTGCATGAGATCACTTCGTCTGCAAGCAAGAAGAAACTTAACAACACCAATCAAAATGCTTTTCAAAAAATTACAACCGTGAAGACACACAAATGCAAATGTAAGCGAATAATGTATCATTGTTGGGTCAAAACAACTCCGTTTCGAATTATTCAAACGATGGATCCGAATTAACAGAAAAACCCAAGTAGATCAGGTGTTGAATGCTTTACCGTAGTAGCAGAAACAGAGATTTTAGGGTCTGGTATGAAGAACAGATGGGGTTTTGAGGGGGGTTTTGCGTAGGAGAGAAGACAGGTGATATAGCCGCCAGTGTATCTGATGATATGGTGCACCCTAAGGGGCAATATGCACCTCCATTAACCCCAATTCCTGTTTTTTTTAGTAATTTCCGAACCCTAACTTTGTAATTTCCACGTTTTTTGTACGTTTTATTTCAGGGAAAATAACAAATCTTTAAAACTTTTTTTTAACAAATATGAAGCGTAAATTATGAATTTGTTTCATGTGGTTTTTCAAAATTTTCAAATTTGGTCTTTGGAATTTGTTTATTTCAAGATAGTCCTCAGAGTTTGTATTTTTGTAACATATTAGTCCCTGAAACTAATGATAGTTAACAAGCATATGTTAATTAAGGGACATTTTGGTTTCTTCTTCTTTTTTTTCTTTCTATTTTTTCTTTAAACAATAATATAATAATTATTATATTTATACATTGTACAATAGTGATGACCAAATCGGTCCAGTCCGGCTCGGGACTGCCGGAGGACTGGAATCGGGACCGGCACAGGACCGGAAACCGGGACCGGTTGGGGGTTTTGATAGTTTTATGGGACCGGGACCAGTTATGGACCGGCCCAGCCCGGTCCGAAAATTCAAATAATTTATAAATAAATGTAGTTTTATATAATTTTATAATGTGTTTTTTTAAGACAAAGTAATTTTAATTATATTAAAATGCATTTTTAAAATGTATTTGAGTGATCCAATTATAAGTTTTATAATGTATTAAAAATATATATCATTAAAAAAATATTTTTAATGTCGGGACTGGCGGCCTATAACTGGTTATGAAGAACCTTGACTGGTCTTACCATTTTCGACCAGGACCGGTTATGCCGGGACCGCTTATGGCCGATTACGCGAAAGCTTGGGACCGATTAGGACCGGACCGGTCCGGGACCGGTTTTTGGGCATCACTAATGTATATAGATAAAGGATCATTGTGAAAATAGGAGTTAAGATGAAAAACATAAGTGAGGATCTGGACCTTGATCACTTTCAATCTCACATCCACCCTATGATTTGCTCTTGATACAGGAATTGATTTGGTGTATCTCATTAGTTTTGAAGACAATATGTTTTAATGAACAAAATGAAAACCTAGAAACCAAGATTTAGTCCATCTCGATGAGGAATTACGAATTTGATGAACAAAACGAAAACCTAGAAACAGATGAGTAATTACATATAAGGTTCATCTCAATATGGTTATGTTTGTTTAACATGGGGTTTGGGTTTTTGATTTTCAGTTTTGTTGATTAAAGTTAACATTTGGATATGGATACGGATTTGGATTTTATTTTGATTTTGATTTTGATTTTAAAGTTCAAGTATGGTTTTGATTTTTGGTGTATGTGTGTGATGGTCGGAGGATGGATCTCGCTAGAGAAAAGGTTTGTCCGGAGAAAATTACTGGAAAAAGGCTTTAGTCGGATAAGATAACTGGTAAAAATGATTTGTTCAGAGAAATTAAAGAGGTAATTAAATATATTTTCCATTTTAAAGTTTAGGTTTGCATTTGATATTCTTTAGTAATTATGAAGCATACAAAAGTATATATGCATAAAAAAATTATGCTCAACCCTTCAAGTGATATATTAAAGTTTATTTGTTATTCTATTTACAAAATATACAAAAAGATATATTCATTCTACTAACGGAAAATATACCAAAAGTTGCGTTATTTTCTGTTACAAAGCAATTTCTAATTTAAATTATTTGTTGAAGACCCACCTCCAGCTTTAAATTAGGCATTACCTTATAATTGAAAAGGACACTAGTTTTGGTATATTTCTTTGTTAGCGGGATGGACATATCTTTTGATATATAACATGTGGATCATCACTTGCTAACTATAACTAGTAAGGTTCTCTACTCAAATGTACATCTTATGAGTTACAACATGAATAGTAACTATATGCGGATTCTTGTTGTGTCCTTACTGATATCCTGATACTTAATACACACACATGACCATAAAATACTTGAAACTACATATATGTATATATGGTTTTGGAAAGTTTTATGAAAACTGATATGGGATTTTCTTGTTGGAACAGCAGGTATGTGAGTCGGCTTATACACACATCGATTCATCCAGTAGACCATGAAGATATCAATCAAGAAAATCTCATACATCATAGACATGCATCTAAATATTTTGTATTATCTGTGTAACACATGTATTACTTGACTAAAGCATATAAGTCTAAATAAATGCATGTATACTCAACCTTTGTCAACACGACTTTAGGAAGACCTCGAGCTTGCTTACATGCATGTGAACTCGACTAAGCTTGTTTGACTAGTCAGAATGTCTCATGTTCAAGCTTAAACTCACGAATAGAACTCAATTTAGGCGTTAATCCATATTTGAATCTGTTGATCATGTGAATACATTAACTGTCGATTTTTCAGTTCAGTTAATGGCTTTAAAGCCCTGATCTTGATCACATTCTCATGCTACGCAATCTCATAGTATCATATGGTATTCAAGAAACGTAAGTATATAAACTTGAGGTGGAATTATTGTTTTATGTCGTTGAAGGATTCATTGGTTCTTTGTATTTGGAATCTTCTTGTGTTTTCTCTTTCTCTGGTGTTACTTTCACAAATACAGTTGCAAACTGGTGAATCACGTTTGCCATTTTGCTCATTAATCGATTTCTCCAACTCCCTACAATTGCGTCAGCTTCGAATTTAGTCATTTGCATTTTGAAGTAATTGTCATTCTTGTCAATTGAGTCCACATGTTTGAGTTAAGTACACTTTAATCCCTCAACTTCGTTTTCAAGTTTTATACACATTCAATCTTTGTTCTTCACTTGACATAACATTTGGGGTGTTGCAAATACTAACGAAAAGTTAAAGGGGACTTTTTTTTAGGTATATACTTATCTATATCTATACTATCTTATAAAACAAATTTAGCAAAAGTCTTAAATTATTAAAATACTAAATGACCAAGATACCTCTTATACAGTTTTTCATCCCCCCTCCTCACATGCACTCACCCTCTCACAACCGATTTTTTTAAAATTATAATTTTAAATTTACATTTTATATCCCTATAATTAGCTAATTAATTTACTTTACGTCCTTTACTTTTAAATGTTTCATTTTAAACATTTATCGAATTAATATACATAATCATATATCAATTAAAACATGCTTAAAAATATATTTTTATTTTAACAAGTTACACCATTATAATCGTCTCTTTAATACCTTCGAAATGAGTCTAATATTGAATAGTTTTTGACTTAATTATATTATTATATATTATATATATTGTGAAAAAATATTTTTAATATTTATGATTTATACTTTTATAGTTATTTATTTATATATATACTATATATTTTGGGGTTAGGCTGTCCAAATTGCACTATATAATATGTTCTGATATAATATGTTCTTGGTTTTTTTTTGAAATATATATATATATATATATATATATATATACATGTATTAATTCAACCTTAATCTGAGTTTCTGGACAAGAAAGAGGGTAAACAATTGAAATTTCATTCTAAAACTCATATTTTTTGGTCTTTTCATGACTTATGATCTGTTAAATTTGTAGTTTTTCTTTATTGGTTTTGAGTGTTTATCTTAAACCTCAAGTTTCTTGGTTCTTTGCTCTTGGTGTAAATCGAACACATTTGTGGAGTCGTTTAAATATATTGGATTTTAAACTGTCATACAATTTTTTTAATCGATGGTCTGTAATTGGAACCATAACTCTTATTTATTCAAATTGTATTAATATATAAAGAACAAGTGCAACCTATATCATCGTTAAATTTTATCTTATAAAACCAGTGGAAATTCAAAATCGTTAAGATTCATGGCTCCCGCCGCATTGCGCAGGTACACAACTAGTAACATTAATTGAAATTTAAGTTTCAATTTAAAAAATACTAGTTGTGTACCCACACAATGTGGCGGGAGCCGTAAATTTTAACGATTTTGAAGTTTCACTGGTTTTATTAGAGAATATTTAACGATAATATAAGTTACAATTGGTTTTTACATATTAATACAATTTGAATAAATAAAAGTTATGTTTCCAATTACAGTCTATCGATGAAAAAAATTGTATGACAATTTAAAATCCAATATATTTAAAATTCAACATATTTAAACGACTTCACAAATGTGTTCGATTTACACCAATAGCAAATAATCAAGAGATCAAGACCAGGAGCTCTAGAGCAATTGAATGAGGGATGAATAAGAGAACTTTTAATAACTCACGATGAATATTAGTTTGAATCTCATCTTGAGGGATGAGGATAAGACATAGAGGTATGAGATGATGAAAACATGAGTGAAAAATGTCAAAAGTATCTTGGGAACATAAAAATGAAATGTAATAATGTGCATTGTTAACTTATATTATATGTTATTTTAATTGTATATTAAGAGTTTTTAAAATTGAATGCATAAAGTAGTAGTTTTAATGCATCATGAGTTGTTTTTAAGACTTTATGCATAAATGTATAATACTTTGTATATTAAAAATTATTTTTAAGACATTTAATAAATCTAGTTTATAAGATAGTATAAAAAATCATTGTATAAAAAATTGTAAGATACAAGTCATAACCATCCTCGTCGGCATCACACAATCCACCACGACTACGAAGACCGTTGTCACCCCTTGCATGTGCCACCTTCCCCCCTCACCCTCACCCTCACCCTCACCCTCCTTTTCTTTGTTTCCTATTCAAAATTTTATTTTATTTAGAGTAAATTATGAATTTGGTCCCTATAGTATGCTAATTTTTACAGATTTGGCCCTTTATCTTCATTTATTACATAAGAAACCTCCATGTATGCAGTTTTTTTAATGGATTTGGTCCCTAAGGCAAATGACCGTCAATCGTCTCTGTTAAGAATGAGGGTAAATTAGTCCTTTTGTAATTTTTCTCTATTTTAACATTTTTTAATTAATTTAATCTTCTTTTCTCATATATTAATCGATAAAAAAAATCGCTTTTGAAAATACCCTCTTCATCTTATGTGACTTATCGCACCACCGAACATTATCAACCACCAGACACCATCAAATCTTAAGATCGACAGCACAACAAATCAAACATAAAATTCATAATAAGCAAAATTAAAACATAGATTATTCGTTGTATCAAATTATTATACAAGATTGGATTGTTCCGAATCCCAATCTGAATCAAAAACACCAAACTAAATAAAAATCCTAAATAATATATAAACTAAATATCATACCCCTAACCTAAACCAAAACATTAGGTTGAAGAGATATAGATTCATCAGAATCATGTAAACAAATCTACAAGATCTGTCGTAGAAGTCTCAAGAGAAAAGGGATGTCAGAGGAGACGGAGAGAGAGGGATGCTGGAGGAGAAGGAAAAGAGTTGGATGTTGGAGGAGACGAAGAAATCCATTTTCCGACCGGAGATCTGGTTCCTTCACGTTGTGGTGCTGCAAATCTAGTGGTAATGGAGAGAGATCGAGGTTGAAAGGGGAGTTGGAGATAGAAGAATGGTGATGCAGATTTGGTGGTGACTACCGATGGTGAGAGAGAGACAGGGGGGAGGCCGGTTGTATTAAAAGGACGACACGATATATGTATATTATATATAGAGTAAGACTTGGGGTCATGTGAGACCAATGGTTTTTCGTGAGACCCGTAAGACCAATTCTCAACCCTTTGATTAGATATACAATCGTCAGATCTGAACATTCATAAACGCCATGAGACTTCTCAATAATTACAAAATTGTCACCGTGTAACTTTAGACCATTAGATCATTAGCTTATAAAGTTGATCAATGAACATAAATTGGTCTTACGAGTCTCACGAAAAACCATTTGTCTCACGTGAACCCAACCCTATAAAGTAAATAACAGTTTGGTCCTCGAGGTAATCATACAAATTTAAATAATCATAAATTAAAGAAAAATAGTAAATTGACCATTTACCCTCGTACTTAACGGAAACAATGGATGACCGTTTACCTCATAGGCCAAATCCATAAAAAACTGCATACATGGAGGTTTATTTTGTAAAATATGAAAAAAATGACCAAATCTATAAAATAAATATGCCATATGTTAATACATAACAAGTTTTTCGAGACTATAATTTTTAAAGATTTAAGATTTTGTCCACATCATATAAAAATATTTTATATGGCCTCGTAAACCAGCTGTACCCTGGTGCGTAGGGGTGTTCATGGGTTGGATTGATTGGGTTGAGGACATTTGAATAACCCAACTCAATGCTTGCGGTTTGGAAAAATCTTAACCCAACCCAACCCAACCCAAACCAAAGTGCAACCCAACCCAACTCGTACGAATTGGCCGGGTTGATACTTTGGTATATTAAAATATTCTTCTAACCTTGAATATGTTATTTCTCTACTCATAAATTCTTTTTCATCATCAACCATTTGATACAACTTATTCATATTTTTTACGTATATCATATTCAGTTAATTTTCTCAATTTACATATATATGTTCACAGTTACTGAATGAGTTATATAAAGATATGAAGAGATTAAAAATATGTGTATATGAAAAGCATACATAATAATATAATTGTCTAATGTGTATATTAATAGAAATTCAACAATCATATTAAATCCAATAAATAAAAGGATATCAGGTTCAACGGGTTGGGTTGTGTTGTGTTCAAATAATAGTAACCCAATATCAACCCAATACCTAGGGTTTGATAATTTTACAACTCGATTAGACATTGGGTTGCTTCGGGTTGAGTTATTTCGCGTTGGATTGGGTTGGGTTGATCGGGTTGGTCGGGTTTTTGAGCACCCCTACTAGTGCGGGTGCACAAATTAGCCCAGGTTTAGCATATCGAACCAACCAATCAGTTAATTGGTTGGGAAATTTTGAAGTTAGTTGATCAGCCTGACCATCAGTTTTGTATTTAATGACCATCAATCTTAGCCAAATCAAACTGTATGTATCGATAACACTCTTAAATTGTTAACAAAAAATGGTATACATATATAGTTTAGTAGTTTGTTTCAATTCTTTTTCTTTTTCAATAAAAAAGGACCAAAATTTCTAACGTATTATTTTGAAGTGTTTTTTCTTCTTCAACGTTTAAGTTTTGTTAACGCATGCTATTGATTATATTTCAACAATTATCTCTATTTGTCACTCATTTGAAATTACAACTTTTATAGAAGTTGCGAGTGATTAAAAATCTATCTTGTTTTGAGCCTAAACTATCTATTCAATTCAATTTCATCGGGTCCATGTCGGAGACAGCGGGACATCATTACACCATTCGATCTCCTTGATAGTATTTATCGGGAGTATGGTCTGACCCCATCTATGAGCGAACCAAATCAAACTGTTTTCTGATTGGTTCGACTAGCAGGGTCGTCCCTTAGCATGTTAAATGTGAGATTTTGAACAGGACCCCCCGAAATCTTGGGGCCCAAGTTTACATGTGTTTAGGGTTCTTTTATCGACCCGTGTAAAACTATAGCCGAAATTATTTAGGCTCAAACCATTAATTGTATGGTTATGTTCAAATCATTAAAGGTTTAGGCTTAGTTTCAGATTGTTAATCGTTTTAGGTTTAGCCCATTTTTGTTCTTAACATATATTATATGTTATTTCATTTATGCAATGTAATCAAAAGTTTTGAATGTAACATAGACTCTAAAAGAATTGGAACGTCCCTGTCGACTAGTCTGACCAAACATACAATTTTAGGGGTTGTTTGGTTTAGGTTTGGGAATGAAAATGAGAATGAGAATGAGAATAAGAGGGGATGAAAATGTGAATGACTTCTCGTTCTTCAGTTTAACCAGAAATGCAAATTTGAACTTCTGGGAGAATAAATATATTATATTATATAAAACTAAACAATTTCTTTTATTATCATGTTTATTGATTATTGTTTAATACCTCTAACCATACATACAGAAAAACCATTCAAAAGATTAGAAAAGAGTAGGCCCATTTTAAGAACCCAACCCAAGATACCATCAAGAAAATCCGACCCATTTCAAGAATGGCTTGCTCCAGTAAGAAAATTCGGACCCTTGGACGACAACGAACCACCTTCTTTCTATTCATTCCCCTCTGTAGGTTCCAATAAGCTCTGAAAGATGCTAACATCAAAGCTCATAGGTCCAAAAGCGATTCGAAAAAGACGAACGCTTACAAATTCAAGATTAGGGTTTTGTAACTCTTACTGCTCAAAGATCTCCCAACAAGATGAAGAGACAATCAGAGAAATCACAACCATTCTCAAGCAGAATGATTGGGTTTCACGCATCAAATCATCTGGGAATCTCCATCAGAAGCTAAACCCGGATGTTGTTCAATCTGTTCTTCATCAAAATCAAGAATGTGATCCCCGACGACTCTCTTATTTCTTTGACTGGTCTACTACTCAAATGGGTACTTCTCAAAATTTGAAATCGTTCTTCATTCTCTCCATGTATTTCTGTAATTGGAATAAATTGAGGAAGGCTAGTGGTGTTCTAGATCAAATGATAGAAACCCGTAAGCCACTCTTGGCTGTTTTAGATGCAATTACAAGTGTCAGATTAAGTTCTGTGGGGTTTTCACAGCTGATTTATGCTTACAAGAACAAGCATATGTTGGACGAAGCTGTTTCTGTACTATTAGCTTCTGATGGTGCTGGTTGCTTCCCGAATTTGGTATGCTTAAACTCTTTGATGAGTGATTTATTGAAGAGTAACAAGATGGATTTGTTTTGGAAGGTCTATGAGAAATTGGCTGAGGCCAAGGTGAGCCCTGATGTTTATACATACAGTAATGTGATTAATGCTTATTGTAGGATAGGGAAAGTGGAAGAGGCTAAAAGGGTCTTTTCTGAAATGGAGGATAAGGGTTGCAGTCCTGGTTTGGTAACATACAACCTGCTAATTGGAGGGTTATGTAGAGCTGGGCTTGTTCATGAAGCTCTTGATTACAAGAAGTCAATGGCTGAAAAAGGTTTGACTCCCAGTGAGTATACTTGCACGATGATTATAGATGGATTATGCAAAGCCAGGAGATCAAATGATGTGAAATTGGTTTTAGATGATATGAAAAGTGCAGGTTTGATTCCTAGTCATGTTACTTACACTGCTTTGGTCTATGGGTTCATGAGAGAAGGTAAGATAGAGGAAGCTTTAAGCTGGAAAGATGAGATGGTTGCCAAGAATTGTGAACCTCAATACACTTTGTTGTGCATTAATATTCTGATGAAGGATTTAATGAAACTAGATAAAATGGAGTTGTTTTGGAATGCTTATGAAAAATTGTTGGCTACTAACTTAAAACCCAATGATTTTACGTATACTAATGTGATTGGTGCTTATTTGAAGGATGGGAAGGTGGACGAAGGGAGAAAGTTGTTCATTGAAATGGAGGAAAAGGGTTATCCTCCAAGTTTAGTGACCTACAATGTGCTTATTGGAGGCTTATGTAGAGCTGGTTTTGTTGATGAAGCATTTGAGCTAAAAACTTCAATGGCTAAGAATGGTTTGAGACCTGATAAGTATACTTACACGAATCTTATTGATGGGTTATGCAAATTGAAGAGATCCAGTGATGCAAAATTGCTTTTAGAAGACATGGCGTACGTGGGTTTATCTCCTGACCATTTTACTTATACTGCCTTGATCGATGGGTTTTTCAAACAAGGCGAAGCAGATGAGGCTTTTAAATTGAGAGATGAAATGGTTGCTCAAGGGATCAAGATAAATCTTGTGACATTTAATTGCATCATAGATGGACTATGCAAACTTGGTCGATATGAAGAGGCAATCAAGATTCTTAATGGTATGAAGGACGAAGGTGTTTTGCCGGATGTTATTTGCTATAATTCTCTTATACTTGGTCTCTGTAAGGCCAAAAGAATGGAGGAAGCTCGGGGTTTTTTGGCTCAAATGGTGGAAAATGGAGTGAAGCCAAATGCTTTCACTTATGGAGCTCTTATTTTTGCATATAATAATATAGCAGCAGTGAAAGTTGCAAATGCTTATTTCACAGAGATGATTGGCCAGGGCATTGTGCCTGATCAAGTCATTTTGGCATCCATGATTGATGGTCATTGCAAGCAAGGAAAAACAGAGGAACTCCTTTCGATTTTGAGGAACATGATGGGGAGAAGTTTCCTTTCTGAAGCACAAATTTACAATGCAGTCATACAGGGTTTTTGCAAGAACCAGATGATGGAGTTAGCAATGAAGATATACTTTGAGGTTCAGGAGAAGGGTCTGAATCTTGATGTTTTTGCTTACACCTCTCTCATTTCTGGGTTCATCAAGCAAGGTGATCTCCAGAAACCGTTCAAGTTCTTTAATGAAATGAAACAGAAACATGCTCGTCCAAATATCGTTACTTACAATACCTTGATTAATGGAGTATGCAAGTTGGGTGATATTAAGAGAGCAAGGGAATTGTTTTATGAAATCCCTTTGGAAGGCTTGACGTTCAATGCTGTAACTTATGCTACAATTATCGATGGGTACTGCAAATCAGGGAACCTTTTTGAGGCATTCAGGTTATTAGATGAGATGCCGATGAATGGTATTCAAGCAGATGAATTGGTTTATGGACCCCTCGTCAATGGCTGCTACAAAGAAGGTGATACTGAAAGGGCATTGTTGTTATTTGACATAATGGTGAAGAGAGGTTTTGCATCTACACCAACATTTAACATTTTGATCGACGGGCTTTGCAAGTTAGGGAAGCTGAGTGAAGTAAATGCAGCGGTGAAAGACATGCTCACTTTCAACAATCTGATGTTCAGTGATGCTACATTCTCCACATTAATCCATCATCACTGCAAATCTGGGATGATTAGAGAGGCAGAACATCTTCTGATGGAGATGAAAAAGAAAGATTTGATGCCAAAGATCGAAGCCTACACCTCCCTTTTATATTCTTACATCAAATCAGGAGAAAAGTTAAAGATTTTTACAATATTTGAGGATTTGATTACAATGGGTACCAGTAAGATTGAAGCATCGTATCTCTTACTTGATGGTCTTTCTGAAGAAAATAATTTGGAGAAAGCTTATGAACTTGTGGATGAACTATTGGATAAGGAGCTATGTTGCACTAGTGTTTTTGATGGATTAGTAGATATGTTATGCAAAAAGGGAAAATTTTCTGAAGCATGGGCTTCTATTGATGAAGTGAAGAAGAGAGGGATTACACTTGGTTTTGACACATGTAAGACTCTGATTGCTGGACTGAAAAATGGTGGGTATGATGATGAATTGGCTGGGATTCTCGAAAAAATGGTGAGGTTTGGATGGGTTCCCAGTTCAACAAGCATAAACGAATTGATAATGCGAGATCAAGAAACAGATGTGAAAGAGGTTAATATGTCGAATGCAGCAGCGTTATAAGTTAATTATATGGTGTGAATTGAATCTATTTTCCCCTTCGAAGGTCTGCTTCAAAGATGGAGGCAGCTTGTCCATTTCTCCACATTAAGTTGGTCAAGACAAGATGATTCATTTTGCCAAAAAGGTAAACTCAGGTGATATATGCTCGCTAATTTTGATTATATTTTGTCGTTCAACTTCTCTTTTCAATTTCAACATCATTTTCTTTATCAATTATGGTTTCTTGTATCGATTCTGTATTTATTCTTCATGGTAGGTTCCTGGTGTTGAAGTTGATTATGTTATTGGGACCTTGGCTATGCGCAGTGTTGAAGCTGGGTTCGAGGTAACCTTTGCAACTCTTCTTTCTTGAAGTATATGATATTTTATATACGACAAATACCCATTTGCCAAACAGCCCCTAATAATATCTAGGGGGAATACTCCCCGAATGCTATGCAACAAAAATATGTAACAGCAATAATCAGAGGTAGGCATGCACATCAAAACTCACAAATGGAAGTCGACTATTGAATATGCCAAAATAAAAAAGCCAAAAAAACTATACAATTCAAATGGGAAATGCAGACCAAAACCAAAACAACCACCACTTGAAATCAGTGTGTTGCAACTTGCAAATTATTAATGTAGATTATGGCCTTAATGGGAAGTTTGCAGTCTGCTTCTTATCATATTTCAATACCAAGAGAATCTTGACTAAAACCTACATGTCATTGGGTCATCATTATGGAGTCATGAATTTCTTTTTCTCTATATAATACATAATAACACTCAAAAAGGTGGTGCCTGATTGGTTTGAGCTTGGCTCCACAGGTCAAAAGTACCAGGAGGTCCTAGGTTCAAATCCAAGGAGGAATAAAAATCCCCTTGTGGCCACGGAGGTTCAAATGTGGTGATTCCGGGCTATCTGCAAAGCAGGTGGTCGCCCTGAGATTAGTCGGCTCGCATAGCGGGTTGGATATCTAGGTTAATAAAAAAAAAACACTCAAAAAGGATGGTGCATATTTTTCGCAATATTGTCCCAAAGATGGTCCTGGCTAGAGGAGACTCTCAACCAGCACGTAGGAGAGAACTTGAGCCAGTATCAAATAAGAATAGGGACACTGAAAAGATGAAAAAATCCTGGCCAATTGATGGTGCTGTTTGAATACTCTAAAAGGGGCCGTTTGGTTTGACAAGATTGTTTTTGAGGGATTTAGATTTCGTGAAAGGATTTGGAATTGGAAGCATTATGAATCTTTGGTGTGTTTGGTTTGTGGGATTTCATAGAAATCATGGGATTTTAATTCCAGACCTCCCTTTAAACCAAACACGGGATTGGAATGGAATCCAATTCCCAATCTCATCAAATCCTGCAAACCAAACGGGTATAATTTAATTTCTTGATAATACGCTGTTAAGAATCAGAGAATAAAATAGTAAAAACAGGGGAAATTTTCCACTGAATAAGGTGCTGAATGCTTGAATTAACAAGAAAAACTGGTAAAAAGGCTATCTAGCTATATGAGACGCTAGGGATCTTCCAAAAGATCCCCTAATTTCTGCATGCCGATCACCCCAAGCTCCCCACTATTTATACTCCTCCTTAACGACTTATCATAGAGAATTCCCAAGCTACCCTCAGCTTAAAACTGCCCAACTACTCTTTCCTGTCACGTCCAGACTTATTTTTCTTTCTTCTAGCAAAGTATACTGAATGGGTGCGTTCATAACGTACTCTTTAGGTTCCATAAGAGTTCCTTTCTTAGCAGGATGTCATAGATGAAATGCCTACTTACTCCCTTTTTAAGAGTGATGAGCACACAAACACAAAAGTGACAATACCCATTTGTTTAATATGTTTACAGGTCCTGCGATGATAAAAGTTTGAAGTTGTTTCGAGACAAATGGGGACATACGAAGAAAAGAAACTCTTCTATCGCAGGTCTCAATATTCTTGCTTATGTTACAATAATAATAGGGGAAATTGTCCAAAATAGCCATTTCGGACCCCCTCAATTCACTTTATAGCCGACTTTCTACTCAATCGATAGAAATAGCCAAGATTTCGCAAGTAGCACTTTAACAACTTACAGAAACTACTTTCTATGAATGTAATATTCATAAAGTAACACTTTCACAAGTTGCTAAAAGTGCTACTTCCGAGCTGACATGAAAGTGTCACGCTTGCTAAAATTTTTAAAATATAACCACTGAACGAAAAGATTGTTCAGTTACTTATGTATGCTAGCACAAGTATTGAAATTATATCACTTGTATAGAATTTTTAACAACTTTCTGTTCAACTGGGCTTGGTTCAAGCAATATATAATTTTAGTACTTTATTTTGCATGGTAGTTGAACCGGAAAATTCAAGGAATTTAGCGACTTCCCCTTTTGTATTGTATACGTAGTTACATTTGCACATTTTTCGTGCAGATACACGACATTTTTTTTTGTCGTTGAGGAAAAGTACTCGGATGGAAATAGCTGCTGGCATGGTGGAGGTATATGTGATTTTACTCTGTAATCACGGGTGATCTTCTTGCCTTCTTGAAATTGACTGCCTTTCTCATTTGATCAGCCCTCTATACATGCATATATATATATATATATATACATATATATATATACATGTGTATGTATACATATACATACATATATTGTTTTCACCTAAGGAACCTCTTATAGATTAGATGCATAGAAGATCCCTTTTGGGATTTAACAACATTATGTAGCCAGATATCATAACCAGCATGATTCATTGCTTCTCATCTTGGTTACATGAAGTTGAGAAACAACTTTTTAAAAGGCTCTTTTTGTTGAAAGATAGGATTTTAATATAATTTGTTAGGCTCTTTTTATAAATTTTTTGTTTTTTTTATAGTTTGTTTAATTTAATTTTTTTATTGAAATTTTAATATTTTAGATTCGAGAACAGAGATGTGTTTTGTTGTAATAGTAGCGGTCAATATTATCACTTGTTTGTCAATTTGTTTGTTATATTTTATGAAGTTCAAAAAACTTTAAGAAGTTGTACGTATGCACGAATTACTTTTAAACTTGAAATATAAGGACATTATGCATTATGCATTATGCATCAACTAGTTATGTACCTGCACGATGCATCTCGATTTTGAAGGCGAGAACTTGAAATGGCGACCCTGTTTGATGTTTTGTTCTATTCTTCGTTTCTTTTGATGCTGATGAAGAAAAGCATGGTTCTTGAGTTGCTTTATTCACATGTGCATGAATCATGCTTTACCCCAGGGGTCGTTCCAGTCTTTCTGGATGGCCTGTTAACCTACACGTACTAAGTTGTAGATCGTCTGAAACGGCTAATAAACAAAATAAAATATAAAAGTTCACGTCATATTAAAGATCTTAGAAATTAAAACAACAAAAATATTTAATATGATCATCAAGAAAAAAAATTATGATCATAAATTTTTTCCAATGTGTAATTATAGGTCCTGTAGATACTAGCATAACATTTACTATTGAATAGGTTAGGCCTTGTTTTTATACAGTTATTGAAAGGGAAAAATGTAAAAAAATCCAACAAACTTTTTCATCCATAAACTATTTTTTTGGATTGAAAAACCATTAAGCTTTCTTATTTTGAATGATTAAGTCTCTGAAGTATTTTTTTGAATGAAAAAATCTTTAAAATTTCACATTTTGAATGATTAAGTCCCTGAATTTAAAATAAATAAAAATAAAGCATCGAACTTTGACTAGTTGGTTAACGTAATTTTTTTTTGGTTAAAAGAATGTAGATAACCAATTTTTAAAAGTACAATTGTTTATTTATTAAAAAATGTGCAAGTAATCAATCAAAACGAGAAAGTTTAATAGTTCTTTTCTTTCAAAAAGAGAAAGTTTAATGGTTTTCCATTCAAAAAAATAGTTTAAGAACTTAATCATTCAAAATGAGAAAGTTTAATGATATTTTCATTTAAAATGATAATTGAGATACTTAATCATTCAAAATAGAATAATTCGTTGGATTTTTTTTGAACTTGTCCATTTTTGGAACTGAAACAATTTTTAAAAAAACATTAATAAAAATTCCTATAATAAAAACAAATAATTCATATATCATATCCCACTTCCGAATATTTACCAAACATTTATTCGTTAATATCACTTCCCTCATTTACCTTGTTGGATAACATAATCATTAAAATGAATTGTATGGTGAGTATCTTTTATCCGATATACATTTATCGGATAAGAGTCTTAACCAAGTATCTAAGGTGTTGTTTGACAGTTGCTGAATGATTTGGTACAGAATGATTAAGTGGTCAGGATGATTAAGAGGCTTTCATGATATAGTGGAAAATGAAATATAATTATTTACAATGAAATTATGCGCGCTGAATGGTTAAGGGAGACCCAAGATACAAAATCGTTCAGAAGATTTTAAAACCATTAAGAGACAAACTTTTTTTTTTGCCAAACAAGATTTACCACTTAACAATTCAGATGCTGCCTCTTAATGGAACTAATTAAGAGGTAAACAAACAACCCTTAGTCGTTGCATGCTTACCAGTTGATAAATGCTTACATAGTAAGAGTTTTATAGATATATTTATCATGTAGTTAAAAAAACCTTTTATCATATAAAAATTAGGGTTGGGTTCACATGATACCAACTTGTTTTTATGAGAACATTTTTTTACAAATGAAACTCCACAGCAAATCAAAATATTGTGAAGATAAAAATACCAAACCCTCACAATAAAAATACTATAAATATTACATTGACATCGTTTTGATATGAAGATTCAATTACCTATTAAAGAATAACATTTTGAAGCAATATATATATTTTGAGAAGTTATATAAACAAAATTTGAAGTTGATAAAGGTAGGTTCTTGTTTAATATCAGGGAATCGAATGCTTCGTCCTCATCGCCCCCACCATTCCCATTATCTCCTTCTCTAGTTTCTATCCCTCCATCAAATCTGCAAATGCGATTTACAGTGTAAAAGATTCAAGAAATGATGAGATTATTTCCTCGCAGGAATTTTTCTGTGATCAAGAACCGATTCATCTCAACTTATCAATCAAGAAAATCTTCTTCCGTCAGCATCAACAGTTCACGAATCAATGAGGAAACAGTCGGAGAGATCACAGCCATTCTCAGGAATCGCAACTGGCCTCACCTCCTCGAATCATCATCTCATCTTCTGAAAAACCTAACCCCAGATGTTATTCAATCTGTTCTTCACCAAAACCAGCGAGCTGACCCCAATCGTCTCCTCCACTTCTTCAATTGGTCGATTCATCAAACCGGTATTCCTCAAAATCTGAAATCCTTCGTAATTCTTACTATGATTCTCTGTAACTCGAATCAGTCGAGAGACGCTAGTGTTGTATTAGGGCATATGATTGAAACCCGAAAGCCGGTTTCAGATATTATTGATTCAATTGCTAGTTTTTCTGTGGAGGGTGAGGGTTTAAAGTTTGGGGCTCTGGTATACGGGATGTTGATTGATGCTTATAAGAACAAAGGCATGTTGAATGAAGCTGTTCATGTTGTATTAGGAATCAACAGTAGTGGGCATTTTCCAGATTCAGCGTGTGTTAATTCTGTCATGGCAAATTTACTGAAATGTCATAAGAAGGAGTTGTTTTGGAAGGTTCATGAGAAAATGGTTGAGTTGCAGATTGTTCCTGATGTTTATATATACACTAATTTGATTAGTGCTTTATGTAAAGATGGAAAGGTGAGTGATGCCAAAAGGGTTTTTGTAGAAATGGGGGAAAAGGGTTGTAATCCAAGTTTAGTAACATACAATGTGCTTATTGGAGGATTATGCAGAGCTGGGCTTATTGATGAAGCTTTTGAGCTTAAAATATCAATGGCTGAAAAGGGTTTGGTTCCTGATCGATATACTTATACGATGCTCATCGATGGATTGTGTAAAACGAAGAGATTGAAAGAAGCGAAGATGGTTCTTGAAGATATGTCCAAGGTAGGTGCTTTTCCTGACCATGTTGCTTACAGTGCATTGATTGATGGGTTCATGAAACAAGGCTGTGTAGATGAGGCTTTAAAGTTGAAAAACGAGATGTTTGCTAGCGGATTTCGGTTAAACGTTGTGACCTACAGTTCTATCATATCTGGGCTCTGCAAAGCTGGTCGGTTTGAAGAAGCGACTGAGATTATATTGGGAATGAAGGAGAAAGGTACTTCTCCTGATGTTTATTGCTATAATTCCCTTATAATCGGCCTTTGTTACAATAAACGGATGGAAGAAGTGCAGTCTTTATTAGCTCAAATGAAGAATAATGGTGTAAAGCCGAATGCTTTCACCTATGGAGCCATTATTGGTGGGTATAGTAAGAAACCGGAAATGCAGGTTGCAGATAAGTACTTTAAAGAGATGATTGGTAATAACATTATGCCGGATCGTGTAATATTTACCTCCATGATCGATGGCCATTGCAAACAGGGCAACACAAAGGAAGCTTTCTCGATATTTAGAAGTATGCTCGGAAGAAATATTCTTCCTGATGTGCATATGTACAGTGTACTGATCAATGGTCTTGCAAGAAACGGTTTAATGGAGAAATCACTCGAGGTTATGTCTGAACTCATGGCCAAAGGTCTGAATCCTGATGTAGTCACTTACACATCTCTCGTTTCTGGGTTCTGTAAGAAAGGCGAAATGCAAGAAGCGTTCAATATGGTTGATGAAATGAGTCGGAAAGGGGTTAGTCCAAATATCGTCACTTACAATATCTTGATCAGTAGACTATGCAAGTCGGGTGACATCAAGAAAGCTCGGGAGTTGTTCGATGGGATTTCTTGCAAGAATTTGATACCCGATGGTGTGACTTACGCTACGATGATCGATGGATACTGTAAGTCTGGGAATTTATCTGATGCTTTCGTGTTATTCGACAAAATGGATCAAAATGGAGTTAAACCAGATTATTTTGTATACAACGCCCTTGTAAATGGGTGCTGCAAAGAAGGGGATCTCGAGAGGGCATTATCGTTATTTCACAAGATGGCAGAGAAAGGATTTGTTTCTGCACATACGTACAACACTTTGATCGATGGGTACTGCAAATCAGGGAAGCTGGTGGAAGCGGATGAATTGTTGAAAGATATGATTGATAAGCAAATAAAGCCTAATCATGTCACCTTCACAATCTTAGTCGATTGCTACTGTAAAGCCGAGATGATGGAAAACGCAGAAGATCTTTTCATCGAGATGCAAAATCGGGGTTTAAAGCCAACGATTGTAACCTACACTTGCTTAGCTCACGGTTATATTAGATCTGGAAACAAACCGAAGATGGTCTCCATCTTGGAGGAGATGGTGGCAAAGGGTATTAGCTTGGATAATGTAGTGTACAACATGTTGGATGAAGATCAAGATAGTTTGGAGAAATCTTTTATGCTTTTAGATGAGTTGTTACAAAAGGGTTTATCGGGTCAAGATATTTATGACCGATTGGTCGATGGGTTGTGCCAAAAAGGGAAATTCTCCGAGGCAGTGGCATCGATCGACGAAATCGGGAGGCGTGGGGTTATGCTTAGCTTTGCTACATGTAACACTCTAGTTAACAGTTTACATAGTGCAGGATACAAGAAGAAGTTAGTCGGAGTTTTGGAAAGTATGGAAAGTTTCGGTTGGGTTCCACAATCGTCGAGTTTAACCAACTTGATTGATCAGCACGGACCCGATGCCGATTGGGAAAAAGACGGAATCAATCTACCAAAGCAAGTTGTGTGAAAGTTTCGGTTTTTGGGTGCAATCTTCGCTCAAGAAAGTTGAAGTTGCTGCCATTGCGACCATGAAACTTGGTTCGTCTTGCTTACTTGATCAAACGAAAATGTGGATGTCAAGTTTATCGTCCACTTTGCCGTAACTCTTTTGTAAACATTTCTTTAATGGCATGAACGCCATAAAAAATATTACAAGATCAGCAGGTTAACGGTCAAAATGGGTACAAAATAGGAAATTTTGAAACTTTATCACATTAATCGAATTCATTGATTCATTGGGACTGTACTAATAATAAGTTCCATGGGCAGGTCATGGCACTACTTTGGTATGAATGGCATAATGGTTATTACATTCGATTCATCGGGACAATTTGGTCAAGACTCAACGAACTAGTACTCGGGGAAAAGGTGAAACTCATACATCTCAAGCGGAATATATTAAACGTAGCTGTCTTTTCATTGTTAGAGAAAATTGTAGAATAGCAAGCAAAGAGTCTTAACGGAAACAGCCTTTCTATTCCAAGGTTTGTATACATTCTACTCTCAGACCCTACCTCTGTGTGGGATTTATCCATTCGGTATGGTTTTAGAAAATTGTTGAATAGATGGAGCTCATCATCATTGGTTTAGCTGCTTTGATTGTCTTAATGACATAGTTTGTCTGTTAAGCTACAATGCTTGCTTTATATATAAAGTGGAAAAGAGTTGGTGATGATGATGTTGCTTGCTGATTCTGTGTTGGCTTCTTTATAAGAAACATTTGAAAATATTGTAAATTTAAACCAAGCACACAAAAAGGGTGCTTGATCTTAATTTAATAGGCTTAACGGGTTTTGGCTTAATTGATTAAGCAAATTAAATTGTAATTAAACAATAATGCTGAATTTATTAAATATTGTGTGATGAACTCACTAAATTTATATTATCTTAAATAATTCATGAATTTTTACTTTTTTTGTCATTCAAAAGATTTGTCAGAAAATTATTTTTCATTTGTTGTATATAAATGTAGGGTCATGTTCGGGGGAAAACTGCAAAAGAATGAAAAATTGAGAAACACTCGGATAATCATTTGTATGTAAGGTATGCACATGTGCATGCAACTAATTTGTCTGGTATAGTGGTATGTATATGTTAATAACATGCACACGTGCATAAAAACCAGAAAACATCTTCAATTACTTGTATCAGATGCGCATGTCATACCGTACATATGAACGGTTCCTTAGTTTTTCAACTTTTTGGGGTTTTCTCTTGAACCTCACTTTATAACTATATATTTCAAAAAAAAAAAAAAAAATTCATTTGGTACTTGTCTAGACAAAAGATTAAACTGATAAAATTGTTATTTAAGATAAAAATCAGACAACAGTTTATCTTAATTCATATAGATAGATTAATGTTTACAGCCAGCTTAATAGATAGAAAGCTTAATGAATAAGATAAAATCAAACAACCCCTAAAATAATATAAGTAAGAATATCAACAATTGCTCTCAATACAACAGCATGTTTCACTATGTGATAGGAGTCCCTTTTGCAATTCCATGATTTATATTATATAAAAATGTATAACTGTAGTTATTACAAAGTGTAAATTTAGGAATCAGCTTCAATCTTGATGATACAAATTGATAGAAGATTGTTAATGTACACCATGCTAAAGTTCCTACTTTCATGACTTACCAAAAGTGTGTATTGTTTATAAGTTACTGTGTGTGTGTGTGTATATATATATATGCTTAAAGTGGCAATCCATATACAAGCCCAGAGTGACCACAAAACTGCATAATCACAGAACCAAAATGGCCTGGAGATCCCTTGCAACAAATGGATCCAAATTGCTCTTCACCTACAAAAACCTTGCAGTTTGTGCTATCTCTTTGGTGCTCGAACGAGGGCAATGGTTTCGATGTCATCGATTCCTAATTCTGTGACAAGCTGACGAGGCGTTTTACCTTCCATGTCTGCTGCTTGTGGATTAGCTCCCCTACAATAAATAGAGAGAATCAGTGGAACTATTCCTTTTTCTAAACTCAAGCAAATACTTCTATTTAATAAATCCCTTTCTTTACATTTATCTTTTGCTATTGATTTGTGCTTTCAGTACAATAAACAAAAGGAAACTAAAAAATGGCAGTGATGGTTGAACAAGATTTGTTCTGTCTGCTACATTTTCTGAAGGCAAAAGCAATCTCAGAAGTCCATGAAAGAAGATGAATGGAATCCTTTCCTTTTGCCTCTATGGCCTCCTTTTTAGAGCCCTAGCTTGGAAAATGAGTTCGGATAGGAAGTTGTCGGTTGCCATGCATACTCAACTTTTCATTTGGATCATGCTGAGCACAAATGAAGAGGGTGTCTTTACTACTCACACAGTCAGTTGATCTTCCCCTGATCCTAGTACAACTCAACACAGTTTGATGGATCTAGCATACTCCGATTTCGCTTCAATGATACATGCATATAATTCGTTTATTCAGTTCGGTGGCTAAGCTGTTAGCTCTCATTTTCAATGCTATAATCCGTTTCTCCCGAAATCTTCATTGTGCTTTTTTTTTTGGGATAATCGTGGATGTTCAGGCTAGCTTGTGTGTACCTCGACTAATCCCATGAGGCTCTCAAGATAACAGTCTCGAAAATCCCCAGTGGCCTTGAGGAGACTTGGACAATTATGGGGAGGAGCCCCAAGGCCATACTAGTCCATGTCTTCGTATCATAATAACCCTATCAATTTATCCATTCTGCCTAGAGTATAAAGTCTTGGGGGCCGTTTACCAAACGCTTACATAGGTAAGTCTTACCGGAAAAATTCAACACTATCACTTACTTACCGGGTAAGATTTTAGTCCACCAAAATAGTATTGTATGCAACAATTTACCCGGTAAGCACTGACTGTTGTGACAATCGTCTCACTCACTTACCGGGTAAGACTCTTGGTCCTTGCCTTCGCTTTTACTGGTAAGATTCTTGGTTTATGCCATGATTATGCAGTAAGGTAATGTAACTTGGTAAACGGTTACCCGGATAAGTGTTTGGTAAACGGCCCCTTAATCTCTTTGGCATGTAGTTCTGGTCCTTATAATGGCCCCTATGATTGTGATCCGAGGTTACAAATTTATGCTCTTTGAAATCCTTAGGATGCTACTATTTTGTTTAATATGGATTGTAGTGCTTTCTGATGTCCTAGATATAATCAGCTATATATAGCATTAGATTTCGTCACTATCCGAAGGCTTTTCGTTTAAAAATTGATTGCCAGAGAGATCATATAACCAAACCAAACCAAACTAACCCGGTGAATCTCACATAGGGTAGGGTTTGAGGAGGATAGGATGTATGCAGATATTACCTCTGTAGAGGCTGTTTCAGTGAAGACCCAGACTTGTTAAAAGGTTTCTAGAGAAAAGGACTTGGCCAATAAATAATGGTTCCAAAAGTTTTACAAGAGTTTGAAAGAAAAGAAAGGGATAAAAACAAATGAGACGAATGTAGTTTGGAAGAGTTGAAGAAAAAGTAACAAGGAAAAAATAACAAAGTACAGAAGGACAAAGAAGGCATACGGGATAGTACAGAACCGCCAAGCTAACTAAAGACGGAGAGGCTGTAAAATAAAAAAAGCAAGTAGGTGAAACAAAGCTGCTGCATCGCACAGACGCCTCCCTTCCAAATATATGAACTTTTAAAAATTTGCAAAACCACCTTACTTTTGAAAAGGATGAAACATAAACCATTACCTGTGAAGAAGTAACTTTGCAATTGAAGTTCTTCCTCTGATGATACTGTGATGCAGTGGTGTCTGGCCCTTTGAATCAGAAGCATTTATGTTTGCACCATGCTGCAAGAGCAGCTCCACCATGCTACAGTCAGCAGTTTGGCAAGCTAGGTGAAGCAGAGAACAGCCCTCAAGAGATTCATCAGTCAAGGGATCATGGATCTCTCTTATTGGCCTCAAAGATTTTGAGTTATCTGTAGAATAAGCTCGCAAGTAGTCACATTCATGATCAAGTTTACTCAGATCTTCCAAGTGCATAATGCTAGCTAGAGACGAAGAGGAGCTATATGAGGCATGACCATGAGCAGCATTAACATCTGCTTCACATATGACAATAAGGAGGTAAACTGCTTTCTTGTCATTAGCACGCACATTTTCCCACAACTGTTGTTCAAGTAAAATAAGATGAGTGTCCTTTACTTTTTGAATAAACCGCCTTTCTGCATACTGCACCCAATAGAATGACACTTCACTGTTAACTTGCATAAGACTATAAACTATGTATTTTCTGAAAGAAGTAATAAAAAATGTTAAATTGACTTCGTAAGTGGTTTATACTTGCATATGGACGAATAAAAATTACATGTTCATTCAATGTCCCAACTGTATAGAACTAATGACCTCTAGATTAGCTTCCATCCTGCTATATTTCTGGGATTTACTTATCCACATATAATCTGGCTAGGGACAGATTAGAAGCTAGAGCAGCAGCGACTAGTGGGTAAAAATAAAAAAATTGATAAGCAGGCAAATTAAATTCCTTTTCTTGTTCTCTTTTTATGCATGAAATGGGAACAACCTCTCTTTTCCCGGGGTTAGAGGTAAGATCTGCGTACATTCTACCCCCCAAACCCTACCTTCCGGGTAGGATATACCGATGGAGCAAGTGTTTCTTTATTAAGGGTAGCCCTTCAAACCTTCTGTAAGCTTTTCTTCCTTTATTACAGTCCAGTTGACCAAACACAAAGGCAAGCCCATAAGCAAGGTTCCTATAATGCAAAGGCTTCGAAAGGTAGATAACCTTCTGCTTTAATCCCACATGCAGAGATGTGAGAGTAAATTTGACCAAACATTGTTTTTCTACAAGAGACTAGCAAAGGCATCTAGCATCTCAACCCTACTGAGAAGTGCTTCAATATGGAACTCCCAATATAACACGCATGAATCATAATGTGATACAACACACTGAAGGAAACTGATAGCAGGTTCAACTCCTATCTTATCATCATCCCACAAGCAGGACGGAATGCAAATCGATCAGCCAATACAATCAATTATTATATTCTTCATAAGCACACATAAACAAAATAGGTGAATGAACAACATGACTTTAATAGAATGTTACAACTTTTATCAAGAGCAGTATTACTTGATTCTGCAACTTAGCCTTTATACCAGTTACCTGCAGTCAGTTACATGAATATGGTTTCTGCCCATCTTTTCCCATCATCCAACCAGCCCAATAAGGCAATGATTTCTGTTTAACTTAACCAATAACATCCTTGTTGAGGCTAGATTTGTATCCCCATTGTCTAGATAGCCTTTGATATCAGTATTATCCTTTATGCTTATTAGCATTCCATGTTTTACATGTTCACAAAATTTCTTAGATTGGTTATGTTTGGGTTGTATCTTTCTATTTAACACTCATCAACTTAATAGTTATAATATCAGCCCCACATACTCACCGAGCATGCTGGTTATAATATCTGCCCACATACTTTCTTTAGGACATTCTTGGTTGGAGAATATCTATTGCTGTTAAATCCCAAAAGGGATCTTCTGTGTTAACAACTTAACATGCATCTATAAGAGGCTTCTTAGGTGAAATGATATATACTACTATGCAAGACTTAGAAACAGGTAAAATTAGAGACAATCTAGCTAAGCAATTATGAACTTCATCCAAGAAAAATGACCGGAAGTGAAATCAAAATGGAAACATAAAATTACTGGAAACCTGCCTTTGCATGAATGAACTTCTCCTTTGTGGATATATGATCACCACAACTGGGCTTCCCAAAGGACTCCCTTGATTTATCAGGCTCTGAGGACCTACAGTACAAGAATCATAACCTGAAGATCAAAAAAAGATTCTGCTCACATCAAGTTTACCATCTGTAAGATGACAAGCCTATGATGACCACAATGATATTTCCCACACTTCATTACTCGAACCAAATGACCCAAGGAAGAGGATATGGTCTTTATTTGGTAAACCACATTAAATTAGTATTACCTCCTAGGTAAGTCATCAGCCTGAAGAGTTCTCTTAGCAGTCAAAAACTTCTCCCATATGGAATTGGCAAATACATTGCCCAGTGACTGGAACAACATGATGACAGAAGGTTCCCATATCTTCACATCAAGTTCCAAAGATCTTACCTACATTGGAAATCCAAACATAAGCTATGGCAGATTGGTAAAACGCCACGAAATTAGGCATGCTTTTGTGATTCCGGAAACAAAAAACACATGCATTATATAAGAGAGAGGTTAGATTTGACGTCATTTTACCATTTTTTCGGGGATAAGAGCATCTAATAAATAGGTCGTACAGCAATTTCATTTTACATCAGCTGACACATTGGATGAAATCATAGGTTTTCTTGGCTTTCCAACTACTCAGGAGTTGATCATGCATAAGCTTCCTAATGCAGAGATAAATTTCTGCAGTTCTTATATGTTTCAGCCTAACACCAAGTTAGGGGGTTACAACTGTCATCTATTACGGTTCACCATTATATGGAAGGGTACAGGAACAATCAGCATATGTACTTGAGGGGAATATTGACATAACTTACCTTGGATATGTGCACACCAAGGTTGCGGTGAACACCTGAGCACTCGATGCAGATAAGAATACCAAGATTTAAGGAAGCCCAGTCTGGTTCAGGTGCACCGCAATCAGCACACTTATCATTACCAGGTATCTTTTTTAATGCATCGACAGGTTTCTCACATCTTCCACCATACTGTAGTTGTTGTGAACTTCTACATACGCGCATCATATTTCTGCAAGTTCGATCCTTCTCACTGCTACATTCTTCTGATGTCTTCCTATCTTGAGCCAGTGGTTTTACTCCTAAGCTAGCTTCACTTGTAGGACTAGTACATGGATGCTGGGAAAAGAAATGAGTAGAATCAACATCTTCAATTTTTGAATAAATTGACTCTCGATCTAGAACCTTTTATTACCTACCATCTCAGGTGATTGGGAACTTAATAATGAAGCTATTACTCCATTTATTTTTTCAATCCAATCCATTTGTTCCACAGAACTCTCTGCCTGCATTACCACCAAGTAAATCTTCATATAGCTGGCCCCGTGTTAATCATCTCAAACAAAATGAACCCAATTACAAGAAATTATAGGTAAAGGTATAGAATGCCCTCTGATAGCCATCATAATCAAAGGATAGACATATTGATAAAAAAACTCACTTGCAAAGTGTATATCTTTGTTGGTGAGATTATCCTAAAACAGAACCTCAGATCTGACTGCTCTGCATCAGGTTTTATTGTAGATGTTAGCAGGTTCACCGTGTGACGTGCAACATCATGCACGCCACCATGATAATGAGAAGATAGCCACCGACTCAGCAATCCAGGGCCGGGTTCAGCGGCATTACTTCTCTGCGGACCACACCCCTGAAAGTTTTCTCAACCCTGAAAATCTTAATATAAAATGGGAGATGATCTTACGTTTCAAATATAATCTAATAGACTTACAGAAGGTCTGGTCAGTTGTTTGCGATAGTAATACAGCATCCCTCGATTGTCAAGAACAAAGAATCTTCTTTTCCAGTCCCCTCTCAAATTCGAGGAGCGTTTTGAAAGGTATCCTTGTTTGATGTTTTGAACCTAAACTATTGAAGTCTTAGCCATTGGAATGTTGTACATTAATGTTCCAAAGACTGTTACCTTCGGTAAGGAACATAAAATACCTTTCCCTCTGAGGCAGACTGCATAACCGCTTGTATCAATTTATGGGAATTTCTTGGATATTGTGGTACCAAATCTTCGTTACAAACAGGAGGATTAGAAGATTGCCTGTTTCCTACATCAATGTGCCTTTTGTACTCTTGGATCCTTTCATTTAGTGCTTTCTGCTCAGAATAGTAGCTTTCTCTAGTTTTTTGTGCATTTAACAATACCTGTAAAAGAAAAGAGATGGTAACTATATATATGCCAAGTTGAGAAAACAAAGCTCGAAGGCCTTATAAATATGTTCTATGTGACGAGCATTAAGAACCTGCAGGAAACAATACCACGAACACCTAAAGCTGATATGAAATCAAGAAATAAGAACCAAACCAATATGAGTAAAACACCAAAGGTTTTTCAAATTAAGGCTATGATGTTATACATACTGGAATAAACGAGTCATACAAAATGCTCCAAACAAAATAAACAAAACAAAGTCTTTAAAAGCACAAAAGGATTGGAAATGCAAAAGTTTGATGTTCCTATTCATCAAATAATATTTCAAACAATCAAGACATCATGCTCTTTCTGGCATCTTTTGAAAAAACCTCTCATAGAGAAATCAATCGTCCATGCTCAAAAAGGGGTATGTTATCTTGCTGTTCTGGAGGTATATAGAGAGGTTTGCCAAGAGTGAGGCAGTTGTTCAAATAACCATGAAAAATTCATGTGCATATACATATGCATATATATATATATATAGGGGCCTAATTAAATGAGAACTAATTAGTTTGTGGTAACTGTGAGAACCAATATTAACCACAAATCAATAGATAAATTAGGAAATTTATAATTTTGGCAATTTTGAATTAAAATATTAATGCAATGATATTTTTGGTATTTTAAAACTTTCCTCCCTCCTCTCTTCTCTCTCCAGCCACCGTCCTCCGGTGATACTACAATGGTATCACAATGCATCATATATGTGCTTGGGTATCACATTGATGTCGTTTGTGTGGTCGATCGAAGATGTAACACAGTGATATCACTATGCATCTTATATATGATTAGGTATCACAATGTATCTTTTGTTTAACAGAGTCAATATTTTTAGGTATCACAGTGGTATCATAGTGGTATCACCGGAGGACGGTGGCCGGAGGCCGGAGAACGGTGGCCGGAGAGAGAAGAGAGGAGAGAGGAGAGAGGAGAGTTTTAAAATACCAAAAATATCCTTGCATTAAGATTTTAATTTAAAATTACCAAATTTATAAATTTCCTAATTTATCTATTGATTTGTGGTTAATATTAGTTCTCACAGTTACCACAAACAACTCAGTTCTCCCTTAAATAGCCCCATATATATATATATATATATATATATATATATATATATATATATATAGGGTATATTTCTTTTACAACCTTGTGCATTTGTACAACCTTTACAACCCAATTAATTGAGATATATATTATTGTGTTAAGGTAGTAACTAGCTTTCAACGTTCCCTCATCGTTTTTTCTTTTCTTTTCTTATTGTCCTAGTCATCGACTCTGACAATAAATTTAATGCCTAACAGTGTTGAAGTCGAATCAGTACAAAGAAATAACTTCCAATAATAAAAGAACAGAACCTGGCGAATGTAAGGCTCAATTTGATGTAATAAATCATATCCCTACAAAAACACAAAGTTTTAGAGTTTAGAAAATGTATCGAGCAGAGCATATTGGGAAGGAGAAAAAAAGCATCATCTACCTGCTTGAAATAACGAAGATGGGCGTCCATTGCCTCACCCACAGATTCCAGAAATTCAAATCTCTTCTTTGCCTCGACGTTTGAAAGAGCACAAACCTGAAGTTATATTGCATTAGACATTATGACCCTTCATAGTCCTGAACTAAGATTACATCATCTTGAAAGGTGCAAACATATGTATTTGGATCCCATATAGGTGAATAAATCTCAAGTACCAGATTAAAGCGAGCTTGCTCAAATGTCATTCTAGCATTGTAAAGTTCCTGGAACGTCTCTCTACCAAATTAGAATTCCAAAAGACGATGGTTACCCATGTATAAATATCAGCAGATTATTGCATCACTATTCAGTTCATACGAGACAACACATATACCTCTTCCATGGCAGCAGCTATTTCCGTTCGAGTACTTTTCCTCAATGATAAAAATTTGTCACGTATCTGCACAAAAATGTGCAAATATAGTGAGAAGTAAAATACTCAAATTTAGTAACTACGTGGACAATGCATAAGGGGAGGTTGCCAAATTCCTTGAAATTTTCCGGTTCAACTACTACGAAAAATAAGCTATTAAAACTATAGCTTGCAGTGACCTGACATGAATTTAGGTAAATTCTTATCACTTTAATGGTGAACCTTGAGTATTAGTTGAACCAAGCCCAGTAAAACAAGGGCGTTAAAATCATTACAAAATAGAATCCAAGACAAAAGGAGCTACACACAAATATGTAAAACTACCTGGCTATAAACTGCATCAGCCTTGTCAAAACGCTTCCTAGCTTCCTGCATCATACAAAATTTTGGGAATAACATATTTTGTCGTGGCTTATAACCATTGTTGGAAACGTGGCCCAAAAATACCATTATTTTTCCTATATTGGAAGGATAAATCAAGTAATTACAATATCCTAGACAAATCCTAGATTGTATAGGATTTATCTCCTACTTCTAGGTATTTGTTTCCTACTTCTACAAGTATCCTTCAAACCTTCAACTAGATAAGTAGGGTTATGCCTAGCTATCTAAACCATCTTCATCATCCTTTTTTCTAGAGAGAAAGAGTGTTCTTGAGAGCTTATCTTAATTCTCTATAATCCTCAGTTGGCACATGCACAATCAGAGGCTCGTTGTATTCTTTCTTGCTATAGTGGATTTGTCTGTGGGTTGTTGCCCGTGGTTCTTCCTCCCATTCAATTGGGGGTTTTCACGTAAATCGCTTGTCACCTTCATTGGTTGTTTTTTTTATTGTCACTTGGTTGATAAATTGTTTTTGTTTTCGCACTATAACCACTCCAACAACCATAAAAGTATATAACAAACACAGTAAGGTAGAGTAGATGTGAGGTAGGGAGCTGGAGTGGTAGAGGGTGGGAGATAGGGTTAGTAAGTTAGACTAGGGTGTGTAGTTTCCTTAAATTGGTTATGCTTTTTTTTACCTACTTCTATTTGCATGTTATTGCTTTCTCTTAATCAGCTTTTCAAGTCTTTTATCAATTCTGAGTCTCTTTTTCACTTTCACAAGCCAGGGTCTTCACCAAAACAGCCACTCTGGGTAGAGGTCAGGTATGCGTACTGGGTTCGTTTGGTTTGGTTTTAAATGGTAAAATTCACACATCCTGGAAATATTACCGACAGTGATAGATGTTTTTTCAAAATATGTAGTTTCTAGACCAATGATGATAAAAGGATGATGGAACCCATAAAGCCCTTTTATTAAAACATATAAAGATGAATAGTAAATCGTGGAACCTTGATGTCTTGTAGCTCAACATTGGAGAAGCGCAGTAACCTCTCACTTAATGTATGCTCAATCTGGAAAGACAAATGTAGAACATCAGCACATGGAAGTATGGAGGCAGCATAGGGGCACTTCAAACACAATCCAAATTATATGAATTCCATCGTTGGAACCTAAAGTATTTCCATGGAGATTTATAATTTGCCTTTTCAGAAGTACTAATAATGTTAAAATGGATATAATCAGGCAACAAAACCACAATCAGTAGTTTGAAAGGCCATACAAGGTATTTATATGAATTCCATTGTTGAACATAAGATCTTTCATATGCATATGTTAACCACCACAACTATTGCAATCAGAACACTTCCATCAGTCTTATCATTTAAATGACCAATGGAAGTATGACTTGGCCATCCAAGGTTGTCCTCTGCAAATAACAAACCGTATTGTTATACAAATACATGAACTGTCAGACATGAAACTATGAGTCAATCTGTTGACACCCCAAAGAGGTATGGCAAAACACAAATTAAACCAAATGGCTAAAATACCCAGTTGGCTCGAACAGAAGCCACTCCAAACAATATCTGCAATGTTTGACAAACCAGTGTTTGTCAGGTGGACCCAAATGCCCAAATGTGGGATTTTGTTGGATTCAACAGAAGCCACTCCTAACATAATCTGCATTGTTTGACAAGCCACAGTGGTATTATGTGGACCCAGGTGTCCAACTTCCGTGCTATCAACATTGTTCCAATACCACAATGATGAAGGGGTCACCATAAGCCTGAATTGTCATGTCAAGTTTCTTGGGATGGTTCCACAGTTAGAACCCCTAAAACAATTATTCAGTGTGTTAGTAAATGTTGTTTAAGGAGGTTTGTGAAAGTGATTTAGGATTGAAAGACAGAAGAGTAACAAGAGAAGTTATCAAGGTTCAAAAAGGCGTGAGACGTAGTGTGGCGGCGAGGTCAAGCCTCAAGCCTTACACGCCATGGTGAGAAAAGCGGCATTTTTCAGGGCGTGACATAAGGCGGCAAATTTGTATATCATATATAGAATTATATTTATATGATATAGATATATGTTTTCTATCTATTATCAAATCAGATAATGATATTAAAAAAATATACATCCATATTAGAAGAAGAAAAATCATACAAATTATTATTATAGAAATAGGTTTTTGATTAAATATTTAAATTAGAACTTAAAAAGGTAATTTTACAACTTCATTTTAACCGTGAGTCTGTAACGTTTATGAATTTGTGAAACTGTGAGTGATGTGATTAGTTAGATCTGTAAAAGTGTAAAACCTAAAGTTAAAAGTGTAAAAACACAAAAGATAAAAAATAAAAAAATATTTTTTTGGGAAAAAATCACGTATTACAAAAAACGCTTGCCGCGGCACGCCTCAAGACGCCATGACGTGAGCCACGCCTTACAGAAACGCTATGGGACATTTCGTAATGGCGGAGACGTGTCTTGCGCCATATGCACCATGGCTCGCCTTTTTGAACACTGGGAGCTATTGGTTTTCCGGTTGTTAATCAAAAAATTAATAATATCTGCTACAAGTTAGAATCGAATCCCAGACCTCCTATATGGAGAGCTTTAATTTGGAGAACATTGACCATCCCGCCAAGTAGTTTGGTTTTGAAATATTTCAGGGCACCCTCAAACGCCTGATTTTTTTCCATTACGATAATCAAGTGAGTGGGGGCATGGGACCCCGCTGGGTCCTTAATAGGTCCGCCCTTGGTCGAAATATTACTTACAGATAGTGATTCCATTCACAATCCAAGTTCTATATCAATATGTAATCCCCATCCCCAGAATTTTTAACAAGAATTTTGGCAGCCATATTTTGCATTCATGACTAAGAGTGATATTGATCATCTCGAAGTCAGTTATGAGTAGAGACAATGTCGCAGAAAGTTGTTAAAAGTAGCCTTTATCCCAGCATGTATTCACTATTGCGTTAACCTGTAGACCATTTTGAATTATTTGCAGAGAATGAAGATTGTATAACCGTTAGGTTATGATATTTGCAGAGAATATATTTGGGTTGGAATCGTACTTTTGTCAATCAATTGGATGGCAGATTGGCATGAGTGTTACAAATTCAATACTGTGCTAGCTTACATAGATAACTGAAAAATCTTTCCATTTGGTAATCATATTGTAAAAACTGAGAGTTCAATTTATCAATTATGCCTATTAAAAAAATTATCTCGTAATGAATATGTTGGTGTGTATTTCATCAGCACTTGCGTGTGTTTGAATGCTATTATGGTAATATAAGCAAGAAAATTGAGACCTGTGATCGAAGATTTTCTTTGTATGCCCCCACTTCTCTCAAAACAACTGCAAATTTTATCATATCAGGACCTGGAAACATAAAACAAATGGCATCGTCACGAACATAAAACAAATCTTTTGCGAAGTTTTTTGGTCAATATAAAAAGAAGTTATGCAAGAAAGTTAGGATCGGTTGGTGTTAGAAGCATTGTCATCCTAAAGCTAAAACTTTGTCAACCAAACTTTTATCCGAACATGGTTCAGGTAGAAAGAAAATGAGAAATTTGTCCAATGCAGTTTAGATACTAAGAAAACAGAACAAATAGATTGGTATATGATAGATAAGCTTCAAATGCATACTGCAGATTAACAATTGTGGAAAGAAAGGTTCTTCTAGACCATCCTGCAAATAATCATATGCAAAAAACCTATCTTCTGCTTGTCAAGCTCATTCCTTGCTGACTAATGGTAGTATACCAAACTCAATCTCCTGTCCAAGATGCTCAGGTCCACGAGGCTCAACCTGATAGTACATAAGCTGGTTTGTTTTTAAAGGTTCTCAAGATATCTTTCTATCTGATGAAGAGAAAAATCCTTACCCTAAAGCATTCAGATTGCTTTCCACAGAATGATACAAAAATTAATACATAGCAACAGTCAAAAGCAAGTCATAATTTTTATTCCAGAAGAGAGCAACAAATTGCGAATTCTTACCAAAGTGACCTAAATTTGTACTCATTTATAGTGTGGTGTGGTGGTTGAGTGCACTTCTCAAAAGATAAGCCTAACCATTTGTGTTTGTATGCTCATCACTCTTTTAAGGTGAGTAAGTAGGCATTTCATCTACGGCATCCTGATACGAAAAGAACTCTTATGGAACCTAGGCAGTATCATAGAATTGCAATTGTATCAAGGAATTAAATTAGAGTATTCAAACAGCACCATTAGTTGGCCAGGGTCTGTTCGTTATGGAACCTAGGGAGTATCATAGAATTGCAATTGTATCAAGGAATTAAATTAGAGTATTCAAACAGCACCATTAATTGGCCAGGGTCTGTTCGTTATTCCCAGGGAGTGTCAGCCATTTGTCTCTTCAGCGTCCCTATTCTCATTTGATACTGGCTCAAGTTCTCCCTAGCCAGGACCATCTTTGGGACAATGTTACTTGAAGTATGCACATAAACTTCCTTTTGAGTGTTATTATGTATTATATAGGGAGGAAGAAATCTGTGACTCCATAATGTTGACCAAATGGCATATGGGGTTTTAGTTAAGATTCTCTTGACTATTGAAAATGGTAAGAAGCAGACTGCAAACTTCCCATAATGGCCATAATCTACATCAATTATTTGCAACACACCAATTTCAAGTGGTCTGTTGTTTTGGTTTTCGCTGATATTTACCATTGTATTGTGTAGTTTTTCTGCTTTTTATTTTGTTTTGGCATATTCCATAGTCTGACTTTTCTGGAGTTTTGATGTGTATGCCTAGCTCTGATTATTGCTGTTGCATATTCTAGTTGCATAGCGTTCAGGAGTATGCCCTCTAGATATTGTTACTTCTTTTTTTCATATACAAATTCTTGGATTTATCCTGAGAAAATCGTCACTATCAATTGCTTCTGGTGCTTTCTTATCAAACCTTAATAATATATAAGTAATTTGATCGAATTTAAAAGCCATGATTTTTTTTCAAACTCGTCGATATGTTCCACAACATTTACACACCAGTAGTTTGAAAGGCCAGTCTTACAGATTAATGTGGCAATATCAGTAACTTTAATATCTGTGGGGTGCCAGAAAAATATGGGAAGCAATGGCCACACAGCATGACAAACCGGCTAACAACACATTACCCACTCCCAGTGGAAACAGTGTCTCACAGAGAAAATCAAGTAATTTTACCTCCAAATGCCAAGGAAATAGGATCAGGTCCTCCACCAAAATTTTCAAGGGAGCTTGAAAAGGCAAGATCCCTATCATACGCTTCTCCGAGGCCTTCTCTGTACGACCCAAAGAAGAAACTAAGTAACCATTTTCCACAAACAAGTGCCATGAAGCTAAGTTAAAGCACAAAGGGTGATTAACTATCCAATCATGGTATAATCAAGTATCAACACAGCCTAGAAACTGGCACTCTTCACACAAAATAATTAAGTATCAATGAGCTAACATAATGCCTGAGAAGCCAAAGAAATTAAAAAGAGAACCAATTGAAAAAATTAAAACATGGAGTTGTGGAGAGGCTTCAAAGTCCAATGAGAAGAAGAGAATAATTATAAAATTATGTTAGGAAGTACTAGCAGAAATCAATATTTAGTTATTAAGTTGAACCCTTTACCACGGTAAGACATAAACATATGCATAGCTAAGGTTGAGTTCAATCGTGTCATGTTAACCAAATGACACCGGATGACATTGATTAATGAGTTAACAAGATCATGGAGTAACAATGACAATTTATTGTATCACTTGCTAAAAGTATACAAGAAATCTTTAGCCACAAAAAAGATAAGTTTACTGCAAACTAGAGGGTCTTATACCACAATACTATCTTCAGCGAATTGTAATCTATTCCTGAACTAAACACATAGTAAACACAGAAAGGAAATATATCAAACACAATGTAGAATGACCAAAATGATAAATTAGGGATCCCTTTATACAGGAAGTATGAAGCCGGAAGGGTATGAAAAAATGCAGAAAGAAGAAACAAATAAATCCTTACGTATACTTTCGACAGCCTTTATAGAGCTTTGAACCTCTCTCCCTCAATGTCTCTGCAATTTCTTCTAAACATTGGATCTGCATTACAGAAAATTATACGTTCACGTGTTACATACTTTAGAACGTGAACTACTTTATCAATGAAAAATCCGGTAATAAAAAATATTTGAATACATAAAACAGATTTTCATCAATTATGGGTACATCATATATACTATTGAAACAGGCGCGAACTCATGCCTTATATAATTGGGCCATAGCCACACCCATACCTTTGAATAACGTTCTTATACTATGGTTTGGCTACCATTATTAACATTCCTGTGTATCCACTCTAGTCTGAAACCTAGAAGAATAACAAATAAAGAATGTAATCTAATATCAACTACATAATGTTAGTCAAATTTGCTCCATGCCACACTAGACATTTGCTAATTACTTGACAAATGTTTGTGATATTAGAATTGTGATTAAAATTTTGTAATATTCTATATTAGGAAAAAGATCCACTATAGCACAGAAAGAAGATTGTGAGATGGAAAGATTATTACTTCCATGAACAAAGTCCATAACACATGTCAATCATCCCACTAAGATTTTCAGAGTAACCTGTGATTGCAACAGATAAAAGCAAACCACTGAGGTGAGGGATGACAAGGGAACTTTACTATGTCCACTTTGATCTTGTTCATTTCCCCCCTATGCTACATGCTTCAGTTGATGTTGATTGTACTGAATTCACTGATAGAAACAAACTAGCTATCCAGCAATAGACTCTATAAATCCCATTGGGTTATATAACCAATGAACAATCTTACTACCTCCATTTCACCATAAGATCCCTCTTAACTACCATGATTATTACGAAACTTTCCTTTCTTAATTGCTATAAACAAAGTATCTGCTATTCCCTCCTTAATATTCGCTTTTTGCCTTATTTGTCAATGCTGACCACAATTTTCTCTCTTGATTAAGAGAAAGAGGCACATTATATGTTACTGTGCATCATAGCTAAAGAGAAAGAACTGATGTATTTTACTCTGTTCATTTAGCAACGTGTCATGATTAATCTGATGTGTGTTACACATAACACTTTAGGGCTATTATGAGAAATATTGAAAATTTTCATAATTGAGAATGGAGGTGGACTAAAGGGCAACATGGACTTTGTTTCTGGACTGAAGGAGGGTTATGATTTATATTTATCTTCAAGATTTTATATTGTTATCACTATAGAGGATTAGGGGGTGCAAATCGAATTTGACCCCACCTATGATCTAAGAGAGAAAAAACATAAGAAAAACAAAATTAGATTGTGGATGGAATCAAATTTGAAAGTCTTTAGGATAATTGTGCAAATCGAATATTCACAATTTCTATTAGAAAATGGATAAAGTTTTGACTGGAAACTTGGACTCAGCTTCTCCTTCTCTTGGATTCTCTCTATTCAGATTTCACCTACACAGTTGCACCCACCAGAGAAGCATCAGTTTGCCCCAATATGCCAAAGCAGCGTCCACCTCCAATACACTTCAATTACATATGTATCCTGGATTTCACGTACTGTGGCACCTTTGCCTCATATAAAACCCCAGAATCTCAATCTAAACCCTGAAAAAAGGGACCCATAACTTCCATAATAACAGGTGCCATATAATTGTACAAACCAGGATAGAGTTTATCATCTAAAGCCATCACAAGAGTTTGTTTCCAACTACTTTCAGTATTTCTTTTTATTATTTTTCCACACATTTGTTTAACATACAGTTTAGTAAAGGATTTCGCCATGAAACTTTTTATAAAGACGATAAGTATTTCATTTTTGCCAATAGCATTCAGTGTTATTGTTTTGCTTCAGTTTAAGCACACTATTTATAACATCACAGAATGCTTGAAACTCACAATCTAAGACTTCTAGAGATTCATTAGTACCAGTGGTCCCAAAGCCACTAGGTAGTTTAGACACTGTTCAATTCGGTCATTCTCAATGCATGCCATCACTGCTTTAATGATTAGGATTCTTTTGGTATTTATTAGTTTTGACAATGTTATTTTTCCGATTATTTATCTGGTTATGAATTTCTGCTTCACTTAGCTTGTCAGTTTAGCAGGTTTTTTTGTTGTTGATTTTCTTCTGTTGATTAGCTTAACTCTTTTAAGTCATATATGATTTACATCCGGTCATTGTTTCAAGCCCTTACTTTTTCCACATATCCTCTTTTTGCTTTTATTTTTCGTTTTACCTTTTCTGTTAATTAGAACTCTTGACTTCATTTGATATCTATAATCAAACTCTCATATATATAACTTCACTTGATCCATTAATGCATCACCTAATAGTACAAATTATATGGTACTCTACCTGCAATCTTTCCAGCTTCTATGATTGATCAAGTCGACGAACATAATAAGTGAAACGGAACTACTATGGTAATTCAAGGGCTGTCCATCACAAAAAGAGAATCTGTGAAGTGATAAAAGAGGTTCAAGCCAGAGGAGTCATTTACAAGGGCAGGTAGCCGATACCATCTTGTTCATTGGGTTACCTTACCAGGGACCAAAATGAACAAGGACGACATCCCTGGGAAAGTGATCTAGGCCTTTAGGTGGAAGGGGTGGTTTTGATGAATCAGAATGCAATAAGAGAAGATATTCACTTCCTGTTATCTAGCTTACCAGTTACCATCTATACAATGAATTAAACCAATGTGTGTCAGCCCTATTCATTTTATCGACACAATGAGCATAGCGTATCTCCACAACATAATCAACCACTAAAAACAGAAAAAAAAAACATGTTTTTAAATAGGTAAATCGAAATGCTACAGACAGTAACACAACAGACCTGTTGTCGAAACATTGGAGAATCTTCGAGTTTGTTGAAATACATGGTTGCGTCCTGCTGCATTGATCCAAATCTCCAGCATTAGAGGGCCACAAGACCAGTTATGAAATTATTTTCTTTCCTCTCGGTCGCCCTAATCTCGATCACCAAAAAAATGAGAATGGATGCCGGCTGCTCTTTCAGTCTCCGTTAACTCGGAATGAAATCGAATTACAGCATCTTCAAAATCGATCACAGATAGGAAGGATGTAGGACAAATGAAGAGAAAACAACAACATAGAGACGGAAAGAAAATCAATTTTGGGGGGTACGAAAGATGCCGGAAAATAGGGAAGAGTGCAGAAGAGAGGTCGCGAATTTTCATGGCTGCCATTGAAGTATCCGTTGTTTCCTGTATTGCTCCGATTCTCGATGAAGAAAAATGAAATGGCTACCTGCAATGGTGCGCGCCAAAAACCAGTTGCATGTTATTTGTATGATATTATATTTTAATAATATTTTTTTTATTAACATGGTAGGGCGATCATCTCCTTTGCAGATAATCCGGAGTCATCGCATTTGAACCTCCGTGGTCACAAGGGGATTTTTATTGCTCCTTAGATTTGAACATGACCTCCTAATACTCTTTATATATTTGGAGTAAGTTCAAACCAATCAGACACTATCCGTGTGGTTTATTTTAATAATATATTACTAATATAAAAAAATGATTGCATTAAAACTTGCCAAAAAATATTTATTGTTTCTATAGGTTACAAAAAATAAAAAACGTTCATTTTTTTGAAAAATAAAACTACTGCAAATATCTATAATCTATATTTATTTCAAAGCTGTATCATGTTAAAAAGGTCTGCACTAAAGAAGGCTTATAGGCAAAAGTCTGTTTTGGTTCTAAATTTTGAAATTGAGGCAGATCCTTAACCGGTTAAAAAAATTCCGGTTTTATCCGAAAGTTAATGTTTCAAAAGATGAACTAGAAGGGTTACTCATATATGTTTTGGATAGCTAAAAATTTATCTGGAAGTTAAAAGCCGTAAATGTTTTCCGGGCAAGCACAAGTCACCATCCTCCCTTACCATGTTGGGTAATATTCTTGGTCATCAAAATAGATTATTTGTAAGCATCTTTTACCCCGTAAATGTTAACCAGGTAAGAGTTTTCTCACTCACTTACTGAACCGAGTAAGAACCTTGTTTATTGTCATGCCTCCTATCGGTAGGATTCTCGATTTCTTACCATACTCACCCGATAAGGTAAGCAACCAGATAAACCGTTAGTTAACCGTCCAAAATATCACAAGTACCGCCTCGTCTTGGACCATCGCACGAAAAACTATAAAGCAAAATGGTTCTATTTTACTTCTCCAAAATGGGTATTTTTAATAGCTGCTTCTTATCATAGGAACGAACAAAAGAGGTTCAATTTTGGTATAATTCGTCACATTTAGATGATCTTCAAGTCCTGCTTTCCAAGTCTTGGTAAAACATGATCCCTCTATAAATCCAAAGGTGAATTCACATTCTCTTAAGAAAATGGTTCAAAGAAAAACACAAACACACACAGTATGCAACGGACAGACGGAGAGCCGGCAAATTAACAGTTACAAAATTGTTCAAAATCTAAGAAAGCTTGAACCAGATTGGAAATCTGATGCTATAATTTTATCCCCAGAGCCTACTAATGAAACCCTTTTTGTCTTTCTTCATCCTGTTCTCTATCGATGGGAAATCGATTGAATTATAAGCAAGGTCCAGTACGATCGGATTACGGGGAATTGCTTGGAAGCCTGGCTGGTATGCTGCAATACGAGGAGCTACTCTTGTGCTGCTATCAGCAACAGCCGATTCGTAGCACTCCAGTTTCTCTATCAGGAACTTTTCCGACTGAAACGTCAAAATTGTCACATGTAAGTTTGATGCACGTGAGTTTGAGTAATGTTTGATGAATAACAAGTAAAGTTCGATGCAAAGCTCTTCTAATTGCAACATTTGATTGGACACAAGTGTTTTTGACTATGAATCATATATCTAAAATTCCGCCCACTATGTTTTGTAGTAAATTTGGGTGGAGAAGAGGTAATTTTTTTGCTATGTTTGGCAAACTAGCTGATTAGCAAGTTGTTTAGCTGATAAGCTAGCTAGTCGTTACCTGATATGTTTGGTAAAAACTAGCTAATAAGCTAAATGACAATGTAAAACGACCTAAAAGAATATGTTGAAAAAATATTTGGTTAAAATACAAGGGACATGAATGAAAAAAAGATGAAAAAATCCCCTAAAGCTTATTGAAGTTTTTTAAAAAGCTAGCTTATGGTTAACCAAATGAACCTTTTTCAATAAACTCAAAAAATAAGCTAGCTTATGGTTAACTAGACGAACCTTTTTCAATAAGCCTAAAAAATAAGCTAGCTCATGCTTAGCCAAAAGAAACTTTTTCCAATAAGCTCAAAAATTAAGCTAGCTTATACTTAACCAAACGGATCTTTTTTCAATAAGCTCAAAAGATAAGCTAGCTTATGGTCGACCAAACGAACCTTTTTTCAATAAGCTCAAAAGATAAGCTAGCTTATGCTTTTANAACGAACCTTTTTTCAATAAGCTCAAAAGATAAGCTAGCTTATGCTTAACCAAACGAACCTTTTTTCAATAAGCTCAAAAGATAAGCTAGCTTATACTTAATCAAACGAACCTTTTTTCAATAAGCTCAAAAGATAAGCTAGCTTATGCAAACGAACCTTTTTTCAATAAGCTCAAAAAATAAGCTACCTTATAGTCAACAAATGAAACTTTTTTCAATAAGCTCAAAAAATAAGCTAGCTTATGGTTGACAAACATGACCCTAGACTAGAACTTCGCCAATAAGGGAAATGTTGCAAGCTTTTTTAAGGACATCCCAAAATAAGAAATGATTGAGGCAGAGGGAGCACAAAATCGATGTATTAAGACCACCGGACTCCCTAAAAATGTCAGGAATGAAGAGAAGGCCATTCCATACCTTCTTATCACTCCCAGATATAGATACATTAGAGATCTTCTTCGAAATATCCTCAGGAGCCTTCTCGTGTTCCATAATCCCCATTGCATGTTCAATACAACTGTGAGATCTGCAATCCTTGAGTAATATCTCCAATTCTTTGATCATCACCTGTTTAAAAGAGAGAGATCATAACCATAAAGATGCATATCCCTTTTATTTAGACGCTACATTATAACATTATATTAGTTTGAGTTGCTACCTGATCTTGGTTAGCCACAATCCGAAGTTTCTTTAGAGCATTTTCAGCCAGAGAGCGAGCAAGAGAAAACAAAGAATATGCTTCTGTCCTCTTCCCAGCTGAACTATAAGATTTAGCCAAGAAAAAGCACCTGCGAAGAAGATATATGGAAGAAAGGATTTTGATGAATATATAAGCTGCCAAGTCTATTGCTTGCCAAAATGAAAGACTAGAAAGACAAAATATGTTACATAAACTTCATTAAAATGTTACATGAACTTCATTAATATGCCTTATGGGAAGAACCTACATCAGCTGAATGCTACATAAACTTCATTAAAATGCATCAAGGTATTTTCAAGATACTCATGAATACCTAATATGAAGATCCTAAATCTAGGGCCTTTAAAGTTTCTTCAGAAAATTTTAGCAATTGTTTTACTCACATAAGTCGCATGGTCGAAATTGATAGAATTGACATGATCCATAAAACATAACTAAGGGGCTTGTTTGTTAGCAGCTTAATAACTTTAATGAGCTTAATGAGACTCGAAGCTTATTTGGTCAGCTATACATGACTTGTCTGGTAGTGGCTTAATGATATAGGAAGTGGCTTATTCAGTAAGCTTCTAGGAGGGAGCTCTATGCAGAAAGTAAAGTTTTTTTCAAACCTGCCCGTCCCGATTAAAAAACACACTTCTATCTATGAAAAACTCTCCCAAACAAAAACCTGCCAGTCTATACATACAGATTAATCCACACAGACAGCTGTATGGAGACTTCATTGAAAACCAACCAAGCAGCCTCTAAGTTACCCTGCACGTAGGAACTTGATAACAAGCAGTGAAATATCTAACATAAAAATAAAATCATAATACTTCAAGCCAATGTAAAACTGATTCATCCACCAAAGCCAACAGTGCTTGCCCCCATGTGTGATATGAACATGAACCTTAGGCAAATATGTCGTAGGAGTCTAACCATCACTAGTTTATTTTAGGTCATTATATTTAATTTTGTCTCATGTAGTGAATATGACTTTATTATTGTTTCACAAGCATATTTATAGGCTGAACGAAACATTTAGTGAGATGCCAAACATCTTAGATGTGAATCCCAAGGGATCGTGGGAGTTGAGAAGTGATTCCCCAATCTCAGGTTCTTTTTGTTCCCAATTTCTAATCCTAAATTGTTCAAGATCAACTTGGAAGGCCTGTGAATGAAGACAGGAGAAGGCAACGATGCTAAATAATCATAATAAGACCTAGTCTGCAATCAGCTTGATTGCATTGCGTTGAATTGCTTAAATATATAATCTATTTTCTAACGTTATCATCCAATGACTTGGTGCATTATAATTTCATACATAAAAGTAAGAAATTATCCACTGTATATTTCCAATTATTTTTCCCATTTTTAAGTGTTCTAGCCAAAACAGAGCCAAAGTTCTAAACACCATCATACTGGTCAAATGGCCATATAGCGCATCTTGTCTAAATAGATCGATCACACATCTTACCATGAGGCCTTTGGTCCAATGGTGCCCCACTCACCAACATTTAGATTGGGATTTCACGCTTACAAAAGTGGTTGTCTATAGTTTTCGCCGGTAAAAGAAGCACACTTATCTGCAGCGGACAAATATTACAGAATCAATGCTATGCGAACCTTTCCGCTCGGAAGATCAAACTTTTGACTTCACATTCTTCAGATAATGCAATTTCTTTCTCCTTTCTCTCTCTTCCAGAACTCAACAAGTCAGAAAGATCTGCTGTATTCTGAAATCGACAATAATAAACACTTGTCAGCAGCAGTGCAGTGGTAGCAATATCACCATTGAGGTGCAAAGCATCTTCAGACATTAACCGGAACATTGTAGTGTCTTACCTGTAACAGAAGATCGTATAACCTCACAAGTTCTTCGGGCTTGGTGACTTTCTCATTTTTCTCATCACGGGCCTTGCTAAGCTTACTCTTAGCTATGCTAACTAACAGCTGGTTGCGTTCAATGGTTCGTTGCCCTAGCACAGCACCTATAGCTTTGTCAAGGCCACTCAAATCATCCTTTATGTTTTCAGAATTACCTGCAGTGGTCTTAATACAAACAGAATCGGAATAACTCTCCATACAAAGAAATATGGGAAACAAACATGCTTATGTAATTAACATTTCATTCATTTCATAGGGATGGTATAGGGTGAGGGAGAGAATGGAAAATGTTTTGAATATAGTCAACATAAATAAGCTTCAACCAAATAGTCCACTACCACATACCAAGTCATTGCGAATGGAGCCCCGGGCTTCATGGTATGCAGCAAAAATTTTGTCAAAAACAGCAAGTTTTTTCTCAGCTGGAAGAGCACCTTCCATTCTATCAAGGAGCTCTTTCTCCAATTCCTCAGCTGAAAGAAAAATTCATGTATAGTAAACAAGCATAAGAAACCAGGAAAGTGATTAAATATATACAACAAAGCAGACAGACATATCAGCATGTAGTTTTTGCATAAAGATGCATAACACAGCGATGAGATCTTTAATGTAGTTTTCACATTAAAGATATGCAATTCCAGGTACCATTAAGGCCTCCATAGATAGGACAAAAGAAAATTCAGGACAGATAATATCATCACAGGAAAGATAAGTGAGTGGGTGGGGAGGGCACTGAATAGATAATACATGACGTAACTCATCTATTGGAACCTTGCAAGAAGTCAATCATTACAAAAGTGTAATATCATTAACTGGTTAGTTACAATTTGAAGGAGGAAATAAATAAACATTTTTGGAGATCAACACAAAAATTTGATGATTGTTCAGCAAGTATTCCCTATGTTGGCATCGGCAAATAATCTCTTTACACTTTTATCCAAGAGTTTTCTTCCTTGGTAATGGAAAAACCTAAAAGTTAAAAGAAATTCTGATGGTAACTCTACACAAAAAGGTAGCTTGGTATAAAACTAATCGTCATGACCCCTCCTTACCCAGAAAGAAAACGTCAGAATTTATCAGCAAGGTTAGGGTAAAATTTAGCAATTCCAGCATCGATAAATTAGACATACCCTCAAAGTGGTAAAGATCAATAACTAACCTTTCAATATGGAAACACGAGTCTTTGCATTTGATATTGGAAATCGATGACCCAGCCAACGAAACTCAGTCATGGATGCAGCCTGCTGAGATCTAGCTTCAGCCATAACAGCCTGAAATACAGATTCCAAAACAATGAAAGAAATTAAGATTTGTGAGTTATATTGTACATGTTTTTAGTAGTTTACAAGGAACTGAGTCTATAATCTAGATATGTAACTGCTGCAACTTTACTTTAAGTTGGTCAAGCATGTAGAGCTTGACCGGTTATTTTAGTTAATAGCCAACCTCCAATTTAGCTTTAAAAAGGTCCAGAGCAGGTCCTTCAATTTCCCCTATGTGTACGAGTTCAGAAGCTTGCAAATTTGACTCGCCGATTTTGTGCAAACAGTAGCGTATACTTGGTTCTAGTTCCTCAACACGCTCACGGCACAAAACTTGATTATCTAGATCTCCATATTTTCCCAGTTCCTCATAAACAACCCTGTTTATATCAAGGACAACACAGATTTTAATTTTAGCAAAAGTGAGTGAGAAAACACCACATAGAAGCAAAAACTTCCTCTCATAATAAGAAGGATAACAAGGCAAGACATGGTCATCAACTATCAGGTAAGGGCAAAAGAAATCGGTATAATACTTGTTAGTGATGTTTTAGTACCTTTTAACATTTCAAAGTGTTACAGATATAAAAAGGGTAGCAAGGTGACTACCTCTCCACCCATTTCAGATAGAGATAGTTCACTGTTCAATGTTTAATTCTCACCAAGGAGCAGAACTATATGATAGTTGGAGTGTTGGACAATTGATAAGACAAATCAAGACACAAACATCACAACATGACTTGCCTAGCACTCTTGAAACTCTTCAATGCAATGTCCCAATTCTGGTCTTGTTCAAATAACAAACTTCCCTTCATATACGAGGCATAAGCCTGTAAAAATTGAAATCAACTTGCTCAGCAAAAAGGGTCCAACGGTGAACATCATCCAATTACATATTCATTATAACCTGCCCACAAACAAACCTCAGCTTCTAATGATGTTCTAGAGTCTCCCTTCATAGCACATAATTCTGCAAAAAGTGTAGCCCACTTTACTGCTTTACGCAACCTGCCAATTAGATAGCTCCGTTGACGTGCATTTGGACCATCAGGCAGCTGTCTCTTCTCCATGGCGTGGCTCCATGCTCTTTCGGCAGTATAGAGAACCAGATGAAGAAACCTATTGCAAGTCCAAAATGTTCTCAGCTCAGAATTAGATACCTTGATGAGTAATAAACCTTACAATGAGAAATTTGACTCTTCAGAGTTACAGTTGTTATCTTTTTAGGTACAAGCTTAATGCTGAAACCTTTCCTAAGGTGACAAAGATGAATAAGATTATTTACAAAGCATGCATCTAAATAAAGAAATCGAACAAGCTTAACAGTTGAGGAAGTAAGGACTTTTATGTAAAAATGTCACATGTTCTGAAAAATGAGATCCAGAACAGCAGAAATGGTTGCAACAACACTATAAACTAAGGTCGATGGACATATTTTGCATTTCCCTGGAATGGAACTTGCATTTTACTCACTTAGTAAGTTGGTCTTGGTATCTTTGTTCCAAACATAAATTGCATAATAAACTAAGGAAATAAAATCATGTTGCATACACTTGTTAATACATAATGCCCTTGAATTTAGCAATATGATAGTTATAGGTGCTTGACTTCTGCAAAGGACGAGCAAAATTGAAATGGGGTGTTGAATTTCATTACAGTAGTAGGATCAATTCCAGAAAATGGAAAGTATATCATTGAAAGCCTAATAACAATATTCACTAAACAAGAACAGTTGACATCAGATTGAACTTGAACCAAACTAAACAATGCAAAAGGGTATATGGTGGAGAAGGTTGACACATGATGCCAAAAAGAACAATTTAACAAGCTGATGGAAGTTTACTTTGAGTGTTTCGGGTTGAATCATTAATTTTTACTACTACATATTCACTTTTGTCATAGTTTTGGATCCATGTATCACTCTCTAAGTTACTTCTAAAATAATTTGGATGCGATGAGTTATCCTGTGACTCTGTGAGGAGCCTATCAGTATTATCATCATTCATCAATGCTCAAAAATTGCAAATGGTGCTGGCATCACTAAAGAAATGCGTATGGTTGGGAAACATACATACATGCCCTAATGCACCTCTAGAGATTCCAAACTTTTTATTTCAATCTTCATCTTTATTGGTAAAGGGGGAAAAGGGATCCAAACCCACTACCTCCAAGCATCATCACATGTGCAGGCTCGATACCGCTCGATTTATACTACCCCAATTACATTGACAAACTAAAACTTCCTTCCACTACCAATTACCCCTATCAATCATTCCTCATTGCAGTTCATCATCGTCACAAGGAAAACGAAAAGTCAATTCAACAACCATAATCAGGCAATACACACACATCACAGATTGACATACCTAACTTCAGTAACAGTAGGTGCTGTTATAGACTTTTTGGTATATTTCCCACGCCCATGCGTGAACTTCAGCGATTTGTAGAGTCTCCTTAACCGAGCAGTGCAATATCTCCTGTAAGTGCAAATCCAATAAGATCAATAAACCCTTAAAATGTCCATACCAATCTACTCAAAAAACTAAAACCTAGAATTAACACATAAGTCCGACATTACCGATAGCGAGTGTAGTCCCCAAAACGTAATCCATGCTGCATCTGCGAGGATTTTAAAAGTTGCAAGACTGCAGAAGCAACAATTTTCGCAATCGACATAACATTACTCATTGAATCAAAACATCGACATAAGTACACAAGTTTTCTTGAGAACTAAATTACGCATAGTGCGTGTGAATACATGTGTTTGTGCGTAATTAGGGACAGACCGTTGATTGAGAACTTAGGATTGGTACTGATCTGATCATCGACTTCCATGGAAGACACATCGCTCTTCTCCGTCGCCATCACAAATTCTTCTCAGATGGATTTCGGAGGTTCCGGTGGCGGCTTCCGAATTTTGTGACGGGATGTTGTGGTTGCTCTCTAAAATGCGCCTCGTGCGCAGACGGTAAATGACATTGGGTCGGACTACCCGAATTCTTACACCGGAATTGTTCTCTATCCAATTTTTAGAAAATAATTAATAAATTTATTATAAAATTCAAATTAACTTTATGACGATGTAAGGGTCTGTTTATCAAACAAATACCGGCCAATCAAAATATCGGGTGAATTTGGTAATGACTAAAAATCTTATCCGATAAGAGATACAACAAGTACAAATAATATTAGTTATTAAGTGAGAAAAAAACTTTTACTCAGTTAGCATTTATCGAGTAAGAAGGCTTGCTAATAATCCATTTTAAAAACAAAAAATGTTATCTGAGAAAGGTAAGTAACGATGACGACTCTTACCGGTAAGAGTTGGATAAACTGCCCCTTAAACTTTAAAAATGAAATTTTTATCTGACAATTTATTGCAGTAGTAAAGTATTGTCGAGAGTTGATACCAAATTTATTCTTAAGAGTACTTTCAGTTGCGGTTTCCAAAATCCTTCATTAATTGTCTCATTAGCATCGATGGTAATTAGCAGCCACTATTTTTAGAAAGCGAGATATTTATATATGGTTATATATTCTATCGGTCTTTTTTTGGAAAGTCGGATTTATACATGATTTTTGGATTTCAGGTCATTCAGATGTTATACAAACACCTTGTTTTCGATTCGGATTTAGTTCAAATTTTCTGACCACACGGGTCCCCTACGTATGTTGGTCTCTCTCTCTCCCTCTCTGGGAAACCATCGCGGACAAACACAAACAACAATCAAAGTCTTGGCTCAGAGGTTGTTCAACCAAACCGACAAAGTCGAGTGTCGATTAAACCCCTGAAAACATAAAAATTGGAAAATAATTTGCACCAAAAACTATTAAACTTGATTTATTTTGGGATAGAACATAAGCTAACATCTCTAACAGATGGATTTATTTTAATTTAAATAGTCCTAAAACACCAGAAAAAACATAGATACCAGCTTACAAGGAGCAAGCTGTATTCCTAAAATCTAAGCAAGTACCACTAGGTTGCTTCGCAAACCCGATTATTGTAGCGAAATATCCGAGCCGACCAATCTTCGAGTCCGAGAAATCTTCCCTACAAATTCACAAAGCAACGAAAAGAAAATCTTACTTTGTTGAGACGGGAAGTTGATGTTTAAAACAGCAACCTCGTGCACCGACCCTCCTCGGGTCAACGAGTGTTGACTAAAGACACTATTTTGCAAAGAAGTTCAAATAACTCGAACACAGAACTCTATCAGAGTGGCCCAAGGGCACTCCCAAACCACACGAACTCGATAAATCTCATGCAAAATATAATAAAAATGGAGCTTTTTGTAGAGCTTTTTGACTACCTAGACATGTGAAAAAGCTCTTGACAAAAAAAAACTCTTGCGTGGGTATCGGGCCAGCAAACAAACCCCCCAAGGCGACCACGAATTCCGTGGTGTCATCGTAGGCGAACCTCCATAGTCACAAGGGGTTTGGCAACGCCTGGATTCGAACCTGGGGAAGAATAGATTTCCCACTACATCCCCTCGATTCAAACCCCCTTTTTTGCTTGTACAGTTGCAGGCTTTTTGTTTTTTAATTGTGGTTTCCCATATTTTTGGAACAATTTAGAAAACATACCGATGAAAAAGTCCATGCTCTTAGGTTTTAACGACTTCCGGATCCAAGAAAGAGTATACTCACCTTTTAGAGCATTTGGAACTAGAGTGAGGACGAAGGTTCGTATTTCCATAGGGGCAAGTTCCACAACCAGCTTTTGAGGATCAACAGGCCCACCCCTCAGGGCTGTTGGTTTATCATTCTTGGAGCCTTCTGCCTTCCACACCAATCTTTTCTTTTCCATTTCATCCCTTCCTTGGTTAGCAGATAAGCTCATTTCGGAGACATCCGTTATCTTAAATAATGTACACATGGAAAATATATATGAGAAACAAGTCACCAATAATGAATTTACTTTATTTAGCATATCGATTTTACCTTCCTCTTTGCAAAAAGCTTCTTCAACTCGACACTTGTCATAACCGAGAGATCCTTGTCCTCTCCAATCTAGAATTTGAAAACAAAAACAAGCTTGGTTTTATGATATGATAGAACATACAAACTTGAAGTAAACGGCAGCTTTGATCATTTGAGAGATGTACAACTTTAGCTTGATGATACTTGCTAGAGCTATTTATGTTCGTTTTGTAACCTACAATTTCCTTTAGGTTCATTCTTCGCACACCCAAACATATAAAGCTTGTTATTGGTGTACAGTTACCGCTAAAACCAAACAAACTCGGTACAGCCTACCTAGAGGTGGGTCCTGCGAAGGCAAGTTGTACACGGACCGGACCTCTACCCAAAGAGTAGAGCGGCCGTTTTCTTGAAGACCCCTGGTATGCAAAAAATCCATTGATTTCAGGCTCAACCAAAAACATAGGCTCTAGCGTTTTAGACCATTTGAGATTTTCGTTGTATGGGTAAATGGTTGAAGGAGAAATAAAGATGAGATTGTGGATGTCATTGGACGCACAAAATTGAAATTAAAAAGTAGACAAAAATTGCGAAGGAGCCTTAGAACTTGGCACAATTAAAACAATTTATGTGAAGGAAAGAGTAAGAACCTCGTATAAGTGTGCCAAACGCAGAAGAACTTTTCCATCTTCCAGCTCCTGAAAGAAAAAGTGTTAAGTTCGTTAAAAGCGTCAACAAGAACCTGGGTATTATTTTTGGCTGTCTTATTAGGTATAGAAGCTTTACCTGGAGGGTCAGCAATGCTACATTATCAGGGAGAGTGTAGGTGGAATCCATTCCTGAAAATGTCGACACTTCAAAGTTTGGCCCTTGTTGTCCATCCTGAAAATAGATGATCTACTTAATATGCAAGAACTGTTTTACGGATTCTCGTATCAATAATAACAAAGCACTTATTGATCACCTGCTCAGTGAAGGCCAAAAGAAGTGGAGAATAGATCTCCTGACCATACGAGCGGCGCCACTTGGCTCCCTCTCCTAGCGGATCGATTCTAAGATAGTATTTCCCTTGGATCTGCACAAACAAGTTCCCTCAAGTATCAGCAATGCTAAAGATGAACTTGAGAGCAAAGTTAAAGCTCCCCTTTGCCGCAATTAGCATACAAATATGGGTTCAACATTTGAAAATTTTAGTTTCATGTTCACCATTAATACGAACTGCTTAGTATATCAAAATCTTAAAGAAAATGCTTACAGCTAATCCTCTACAGTCGTTGCCAACACAAACTGTTTCATTTAGTGCCTCTGCAACACCCTTTCCATCATCATACAGCAATCTCCTACAAAAGAGGTGATCCATATTTTATATTTCGTGGACGATTCAACTGTTTGATTGTTAACTGTAACCGCTAGTGATATCATCAAGAAAAGCTACCACAAAAAAATGAAATGGAAAGAAAAGACCTACCTATGGAGCATCAACTCCAGTTGCCCATCAACAATGCTGGACCCACCTACGGATCTATCTACCAAGATCGAGAACTCACTTCTGTGATCTTTCAAGTAAATTCCAAGATTGATCTGAAAATTAATTCAACTTGAGTTATATATATGAACTCCAAACATGCTATGCTATTCACCAAGCCTTTCACTAATATAGTTGTCTTGATAATGCAGACGAAAAAATACATACAGGATAATAATTTCCTGCAATAGGCTGATTCACTTCAAGATCCCAGTCAGCTCTATAGTCTCGAATCTGCCACAGAAAATAAAATTTTGATTATACATTCTCCGATACTTGTGTTTCTTTAAGAAGCAGATGTTTAATGGTGTTCAATAAAAAGTGGAGGTGGTATGCTAACTAATGAACAAGGACCATATTAAATGTTTTTACATGCATCAAATAGGAGTACTGCAGCATACCCGTTGAAGGAAATCACGCCCATTAGAATCTGAGTAAAATGTTTTATTGCTATTTATGGTGGTTGTGATCTGAGTTACAATCTCTTTCCCAACTCCATCTTCAATAGGTATGGGACCAACCTGAAGTTCAGATAATTACCGATGAGCATATCCTGAAGAAGACAAAACTAAAGACAAATGAACTTTATACAAAAAAGGAGATAAATGAACTTACAGTAAATTCGACTTCAGCATGTTCCTTATTCTTGTACACTCTAGTGATCTGCCAAAGCATGCAAAAAGAACTCAAGGAAATTAACAGGGGCGGTACTACAAATGACCCAACATAGTGAAATAAGCGGCCCCTTACTAGTAGCAATTTCAAAGGTATGCACCTGAATTCACACGAAAAGCTCACTCTAGTTGCTATTTATAACAAATTTATATTCAGTATGAGTCATGAACACTCTCACATTTCTCCTTATTTTTTGCTTATGTTTTGAAAGCCAGGGGTCTTCACAGAACCAGCCTCTCTACCCTCTTGGGTAGAGACAAGGTCTGCGTTCATCCTACCCCAAAACCCGACCTCTGTGTGGGATATACCGGGTTCCTTTTGTTTGGTTTAGGCATTGTGAGTCATGAATACATGTGCTCCATCCAGGAGTTTGAGTTTCCGACAGTATGCTAATTCCGCTACCTTCCCAATTAAGAAGGATTCATATACCTTCCCAATTAAGAAAGATTTATATTACCTTCCCAATTAAGAAAGATTTATATTACCTTCCCAATTAAGAAAGATTCCACTAAACTCTGATTGACAAAAGATCAAACAAGGATTGGTCACTAGTGGTGTCCTTGTGCATCTAAAGAAAATTTTGTCCAAAAGGTAATCAACAGGGGATGTTGATCAAATAATTCATTACCTGGTAAATCCATGGATTTATTTTCTGATGTACTTCTTCATATATCGTCCCCCTCAAAACTGTTATAGGAGTCTGTAATTTCATCAAAAACTAATCAGTTAAATCTGGCTATAAATTACAGGACACATGCATCAGAAGAAAGTTTATACCTCCTCCTGAGAACCAATAGGGTATGTACCATTTGGACGGAAAATATATGCTCCAGATGCCTAAAGCAAGAAAAATAAATATTTAAAGTTAAGGGGTTCATTTGTTAACATGAGACTTGCCTAGCATGCACAAGTGAACAATCTCTAGATAAACAAATATATCAGACATGCATAAAACACATAACAAGATTCCAAGACTAAAGCAACAATAAAAATACAATCGATATGATAATAATGTGTTACCTGCTCCCCCGTGGTGCCATCAAATCCAGCATAATAGCTATATGATTGCTTCACAGAGGATTCAATCTTGCACAACCCGACATAAGACAGTTTAGTTGCACATTAAAAATATAAATGACAATAGTATATAGTTTAATGACTATTTCAAATGACTTCAAAGATGTTCATTGCTGTACGTATATAACATAAAAAGTTGACTCTATGGATCATAACAAACAAATAATTAAATTAACATAAAATGTCCTGACCATACCATCAAATAGTTGTGCAAGAAATGGCATGTCTTATGAAAAATATCAAACTAAAAAGTGAAAGAAAAAGAAGGTTAATCTACTTACAGAGCTTCGACTATTAACATAATGAGTGAGTTTTCCTTCACTTCCAGAATAGATTAACTTCAAATTTCCTGTGCCTACTTCTATGAGATCTTTTCCTGTCATGGTAGACTTGTATAATGCGTCTTTTACAAAATTTGAAGCTGCATAAAATTAATATTGATGTTAAAATGCTGTTCAACATTTACAATAATGTACCTTTTATGCAAAATATTACATGGTTTACCTGGCCTTTTTGTGCTCACAATCACATATGTGCTAAAACCCAGAGGCGGAACAGATGCTGTAAATGCAAGCGAATACTTGGGAGTTGAACTTGGTGATTTACCCGTATATGCAGTTGTGTAGTAGTTTCTTAGGGCTATAGATTCATTTAGAACAGGGAGAAGTTGAGATTCAACTTGTTTTCCGTTGGAGTCGTAGACGGCAATATTCTCACTCACAACCTATTAGATAGGCATGATATAAGATACGATCGAAACTAATTAACCAAATATGTATAATGTTATCATCCTCAAAAAAGGAACCGATTTAGACACAATCAAAACTCAATGTGTAATGCTTACCGGAAGTCTTATAACATCATATCTCTTCCACCCCAGGGAATTGTAGACAACAACCACCTACAGTAAGAGTCACGATAGTCCATTCAATTTAATGTATATAAGAAAAAGGTCACAAATGTGGAGTATATATCAGAAAGCTTTATGCCATTTCCTTGTGTGTTGGATAATCCAGGTTTATATTACTTTTACATGGAGAAGCTACAAAAATTAAGCATCTCACTTACCAACTTTTTGCCAGAAGATAGATCGGCCTCAGATGAAGGGCAATAGCTTATGTTCAGAAGCGGACACTGAAAATTAATGAAGAAACAAAGAATTGGACATCATTACATATATAGCATAAAAAAATAAGTATATCAACTCCCGTTTCAATCAATGGAAAAAATTTCTGTAACTGGAAGAGGTGGAGTTGAAGTGACAGGATCGGTTAGCAACAATGTGAAGATGTGCATGAACAATATACATAGGTATAAATGTCAATTGGTGATGAAGTTTCTGTTATACAAGACCAAACATGCAGATCCTTGGTTTAATAATTGCATGATTGAATTTCTTTTCATACCAGACAAAAGGAAGAAAAAGTTGCAGATCGATGGAGTCTTATTTCACCTTTAGCAAAATTTTATTATATATTATACAAGGATTTAAACCCCAATCCCCTCCCCCAATAAAAAAATAGACTGTTGAAATTTAAATATGACATCTTCTGTACAGGAATAATGCCCCCAATTAACATAATTCTCAGTGTTCAGCAAAAGATTGATATCCAGTACTTGATGGACTATCCAACTAAGTAAAGATGCAAAGCAAAAGCAAAAACTACAGAACAAGGGACTACATATGTATATATAGGGTGGAAATTGTTTGAGAACACAGTTATATATATAATATATATAGTTGAGGACAAGGGCAAGAAAACATAGTTCTGTTGCATTGCTACCTCTTGAAAATTAGCAGCTGAACTTGCACATCCAGATTTTGATGATACCATGCAAGCTATTGAATCGGCAACCACCGCTTTGGCCTGCAAAAATAAGATTGCATTTCTGGTCAGTTTGCATGTAGGGAAAAATGAATAAGGTGACAGGTAAACTTGCAACAAAATAGAACAAGTTTGCACCTCCTTGTGACCTATTGACAGCCGTTTTGCATAATCATTTGCCACATGTTGTTGCGAAGTACCACTAACAGCATCATGATGTTGAGCGATCGCTAAAGCATCACCCAAAGAGTCCGTAGTGGGCCCTGCTTTATTCCTTCCCTTCATTACCTCCAATTGCCTTGCTGCCTGATATTTATATTGTAATGGAATGAGAATCAGACTCAAGAATTTTAATGACTAATCTAGACCTCCAATAAACAGCGCCCATGTCACGCACCAGATAATAGCCGCTCAACATTCTGACATATCCCTTGAGAGCTGCCCTACTAGTAAAGTATCCTGTCCAGTAGGCATCTACGTCGCTTGCATATCTAACAATCACATGTAGTCCTTGATTATTTGCAAAATAAAGACTGGAAAGTGTGATCATATATTTTAAGGTTTCCAAAAGTATACTTACGGAAAATAGTCGTCTTCTTTGAGAGGCCAGGAGTCAGTCTCAGCATGTTTAGCATCAGTGTAAATAGATGGCGTCGAATAGAGAGCATTGACACGACCATCCTATATTCATATGTAGTCAAAACTCAAAAACCAAGTAAGATATAAATGTAAAGTTCAGAAAGAATGATTGAGTTACTAACTTGATTGACATAATGAATTAACTTGTCCATATTCCGAAACCATGACTCTGCATACTGATATTTGAAGTCCGTCCCCATCGTCCACATTACATGATTTGAGCGAGTAATATTTGCCTGGAAGTATTGGAAAAAGTTAATCAAATTCAACTAACTCATCACTTTCTTAAACTCTTCAGAGTATCGACAGGCAACTATAAAACATATATACATGCAGCTCACCTGTGACAAGGCCGCAGCCACAAAATCACTAACCCGCTCTTGGACGTTGTAGTCAAACAAAGTGATGTCATCCTACATTGTAAGATAGATACGATTATGGTACTTGTTTCAATAAACATTCAAGAGCCTTGACTTTTTTAAATAAACATTCAAGAGCCTTGACTTTATATTTAGAAAGGGACCTGAACAATGGGAGAATCATCATTGACTTCAAAGTAGAAACCACTTGGAGGTTCGTAATTCTCAGGGAAAGCACCAGCAAAAATCTATAAAGATTGAACAATCATGTTAAAGATCAACTCTTCTGGAGAAAACAACTATAAACACATAATCTAACAACAATAAAGTTTAGATCTTGAACTTTTATCCACATTCTGTATCAATATCAACAACTCTATAACAAATGGAAAAGCACAGCCAATTTATAACTCACCTGTGAAGACGAACCAAGACTCTTGGAACCCCGCCAGATAACTTCGAGATGTTTTTCATCTTTTCTCTTAGCTCTGTCTTGGTAATCAATTCGCCCAAAGAAAAGAGAATCAAATCCAACCTACAAGATCATAAGGTTATATGAGTTTAGCAAAATTATTACAACTATTAAATTTATTTAAGATAGATTGATACATTTATTGATGATGCTTCAAAATGATAAATGGTGGTTACAAACTTTCTACGATTACAAAAGTGAATCCAAAATCTTCAAATCCAACAGATTCTAGAAGAGCCAAGAGAACAGAATAATTAACCTCAGCCCCCAATAGGTAAGCCTGCACTGCCGAATGTCCAAATGGGTCTATCTGCCAACCAATCCTCGGTGTTACATTGAATTGCTCTTTAATAAATTTATGCCCCAACGTCGTCTGATCAATCATATCAATATAATGTGGGGCTGCTTCATCATGCATGCACCATCCCCCATTTCTGTGCAACAAAAACAAATTAGACATAATGTAGTTACATCCATGCAAGATATCCTTAAGAAACAGTGTTTAGTATAACCCGACAAAACAAAAATTCTTCCTAGCCTATTTATACATCAGTATAAATAAAGATTCATCTTTGTCTGCTTACATCAACTCAAGTTGTCCCGATCTAACAAAGCGTTTGACCGTAGCTTGGGTTGCCTCACTCTGGTCCCTCCACCAGCGCTGGAAAAATGCCTGCAACATCCGTAAAAAAGGTCATTGGCCCAGAGATACCCAGGTTACCGGCAGATCCCAAACTCCATGGAGTCAAGGGTTCAGGTCTCCCCAAAGGCGAGAAGGGGGTGTGAGTTTTGTTGTATGAATATATATACTTCAAAAATACATCCATAAACATCTACATTAATCTTGTGTGCAACAAGGGAGACCAAATAGACAGACTTAGGGCCTATTTGTTAGCTGCTTAATGAGCTTAATAAGACTCACAGCTTATTCGGTCAGCTATATATAATTTTTTGGTAGTGACTTAATGATATAGAAAGTTGCTTATTCAATAAGCTTCTATAGAGAGCTTTATGCAGAAAGCCAAGTTTTGTGCAAACCTGCCCCTCCCAATAAAAATACACGGTCCTTCCATCTATGAAAAGACCTCCGAAATAAAAAAAGATCCCACTCTATACTAACACATTAATCCAAAAAGACAACTTTATCCGGGACTTGATGGAAAACCAACCAAAAAGCCCCTTATTTAACATCAAATTTTGAAAGAAGCTTTGATGGAAGGATAGACCATCAAAACAACTGCTACAATTAGAAATCTATCTGATATAAATTGGTAACAAATTCCATAATCAAGTTCTAGCGTCTGTTTGACCTGGGAAGTCAAAATTCACAATTAAACCAAAGGATTTCAAGATTATGACCTGTTCAACATAAATGAACTTCCGATTCTTATCAGCCAACAATGCTGGAACCAAGGAATCAAGCACGTTTTGAACGCATGCTCCCTGTAGAATTGGCAAACACATAAGCAATTTAGAATATCAAACAATGGAGCAAAACAGAAATCTATACGCCTTGTGTGCGATTAAGATAGACCTGAATAGAGTTATTGGATCCAACATAGTACTGGTCAACAGTCTTCAACCAACCAACATCGTCGTGTGTATGCGGTACCAAATGAACATTAAGCTTCCCCTTCACAACCCCCTGTGAAGTATTGTAAATCATATACTTCGATTCCACACACAATCCAGCAACAAAGAGTACACTTAACAGCAAACAAACTCGAAAATCCGCCATTCCCGACGACAAAACTCACTATTTCTCCAGACACCTCTATATATGAAATCAAAAAAAAACAAGAAAACGAATGTTTAGAATAAGATCCCCGATCAAACGAAACGAAATTCCTTTGTTTGTCGTTGCAATGCTATTCAGTTTGACACTGAGTCAGCCAAAAACAAGACAATCAACAAGTCGTTTTCCTTCGAATAATTGAGTACAATAAGGGTTTATGCGATCAATTTCCAATGGATATAGTATCCAAAACGAAAGTAGCTTTGTGGAAAGAAAGAAGATGAAGAAGACGACGACCAAGAGTGACTCGGCGGACACTTTGCTTATCCAATAATGGGCCCATCTCCCATGATTCCTGAAACCTGATTTATATGCCCACAAGGACCTGTAACTTTGCCACGTTTAACGGACTGGACAAATTTGATAAGTCTTGAAATCTATGGATTTACTTGGCTTAATAGATCGTAATTACCGTGTCTGGATTTATATATACACACAAATCATCATCATCTATATGCACGTACTGTGTGTATCTATATGTATTATGTTATATAATAGTTTATCGGAGGGTAATTGGAAAATGCAATAAGATACATCTTGATTTTAATATTATTTTTTTTATCTCAGTCGATGTTATAATATAACCTTACGTGATTTAAAAAAAAACAATAATGTTTTTGTTTTTAAATAAAATATAAATTTGAATATATCATAAATTTTGATAAAAATATGTTGATATTAGTATCAAATTAACTATTTAAAATTCCTTATTTTTTGTGTAACTTTTTAATTCAAGTTTTTGAATTGTAATTTAATTTAGGTTCAATAACGAAGTAATTTATATTTAGTTTAATAATATAATTTCTTATAAATATAATAATTAATTATTTTGTTAGAACTCGATAATTATCCTAATAATATTTTAGATTTTTTTTATATTTTAAAATGAGATGTTTATCCTCTAATTGATTATGTTTATCCACAATTAACTACACGAATTCAAACATAAAACTTTAATAAATTGTTTTTATGCATAATTTAATTGTGATCTTGAATTTTAAGTAATATATATCAATATACAATACGATATGCATAAAAATGATTTTTAAAAGTTTTTATCAAATGCTTTATAAAATAGTATAGATTATGAAAGATGTTCCAAACATAAGAAAAAAACAAAACAAAACCAAAAATTTACCCCATCATTAAATCAATAAAATAAATGGCTTGTATCTAAATATATCTTTATATTTAATTTAAAATTTAAAGATATCTGATAATGTTCTCACGTTACTATATTAAATCTGGTTAAACAATAATTAAATACCTATTTTTATGACAGCTATTCTTATTTATTTATTTATTTTCTAAACTTATTCGATGTTAATTAACTCGATTATCACCATTCACCAACCCCTCTCATCATCTTCACCCTTAATCTCCTACCATTGTTTACAATCTGGGCCGTTTAACAAACACTTACTCGGTAAGCATTTACTGGCAAAATTAACACTATCATTTACTTACAGAATAAGATTTTAGTCAATCAAAACGACATTGTATGTAACAATTTACTTGTAAGCACTTACCGTGGTAAGAGTCGTTGTCTTCACTTACCGGGTAAGACTTGGTCCTTGTCTCGTTTTTACCGATTAAGATTTTTGGTCCTTACCATATTCATCCGTTAATGTAATGTGATTTGGTAAGCACTTACCCTGGTAAGCATTTATTAAACGGCCCTTAAGTAGTCATGATGATGAAGCAACCATAAGCAAACAATGGTGGTTGTTGCATAGATGGTGTCACTGTTTCTGATAAACTTGGCTTAGAAGGAAACTGGAATTTTTTTTTTACGTCTTATTTAATTAACGTAGTTCGATGACTCAATTAGAGAAGTTGAAGTTCTCATGGGAAACATTATTCGGAATGATTGGACATAAAGCGTCTGTACTTTTTAAGTCTGTTGTCAAAGTAGTTGAGTGCTCCTTGTTATTCGGATCTTGACCGGGTCCGAGCTTCCCAAGCTCTATGCTGATTGGAGTTATTTTCCTTCGGTCCATAAACGTAAGAATCGCGAGACGGCAAACATCGGCCGATGAAGGGAAGATACTTTAGGTTTATTCCTATTGCTTGGAAGTAGAAGGGAGTTCACTCACACCCGGGGCTTGCTAAATGGATGGATCTTATCAACGTCCATGAATGATAAATCATAGATTGAATCACCGAATCGGAATAATTGGGTGCTCCCCTTTCAGTAGGCTAAGCCTATCCCTTTGCCGTAAAGCTAAGTCAGAACTCAGCTAGGACCGAATATCCTATGCATAATAAATATAAATAAATCATTTATATTTATATTTATATGTACCAGAAAGATACTCGCATAATACAACAATATACATCTCGATTTTATTGTTTCATTTTATTATTTGTCTATTGATACAATACAATTTTATATAATAAGAAGTACGTAAATTTAAGTACCTTCTTATCTATAATAAAGATAAATAAATAAAAAATTCAGTAAATTATTAGCATTTTTTGTACTCAATTTTATACTAATGAAAAAGATATATTGAATTTTTTTCGTACTTACCGAGAGTCATTACAAGAAAATGAGTTTTGACGATGCATTTTTAAGCGATGATATGTTTCCGCCAAAAATTATAGCGACGACATGTTGTTATATATTTTTTCTAATAATAAATGTACTTTTAGCAACGACTTAAAAGCTTTGTTTCTTATGGTAGACCATGTTTTTATGTTCTTCTAAGACATATAAATGTCAGGGACGGGTCTACAAAATGTTTTGAAAAGAATAAAACGAAGATCATGTCATATGCCTCCACTAGGGGTGTTCGTGGTCCGGTTTGAACGGTTTAACCCCTCAGACCACAAACCAAACCGTAATTTCGGTTTATAAAATTTTCAAACCGAGCGGTTTGATATTAAGTGCCCAGACCGGTCAAACCAGACCATGAAAAGGCGGTTTGGTCTGACCGGTTTAGGCGGTTTGAGCTTTTAATGGACTTTAAATATTAAACTTGAAAAAAAAATATATAATTTTAGATTAAATATCCATTTTGATTATGTTAGATGTCAGACTTTACGTTGGATTTAAGGATATATATATAAGTCATAGCACATAAATTAAAAAAGTTAGGCTTGCTAATAACTAAAATAAATAATTAAATATATTTACACATATGTGATACCCATTGTGATATACTGTGATACCAACTATGATACCAACTCCAACCATAAAAACAAAGATACACAATGTGATACCCATTGTGATATAGTGTGATACCGATTTCATCGGAGGCCGGAGATTGGAGACTGGAGATCGGAAAGATGAGAGAGGAGAGGGGAATAAGAGTTTTTAAAAAATACCTAATATGCCCTATAATTATAATTTTAACTCAAACTACCATAATTATTAATTTCTTAATTTATCCGTTGATTTGTGGTTGAGATTGGACCTCACAGTTACCACAAACTATTCAGTTCTCATTTGATTAGACCAATATATATATATATATATATAGGGGAGCGATCAAATGCAAACCACTCAATTTGTACAAACCGTGTAAACCGCATTCAATCAATCATAATTTTTCATTTTGTTCATTTTTTTGTAATTATGAGAGATTGATTAATCATTTTTATTGTGGAGGGTGTTAATCATAGATATTATCATCTTCATTATTTTAATTTTAGAGAAATACATGAAACAATTTCATTAATGTTAGAGAAATACATGAAACAGTTTCATTAATGTTAGAGAAATACATGAAACAGTTTCATTAAGTATTATATGAAACAATTTCACAACCATATATGAAACAACTTCATCAAAAAAAGTTTTATATGAAACAATTTCACAAGATTAAACAATTTCATGAAAAAATTTCATAAGATTAAACAATGAAATCGATATATGAAGGTGGTTTGCACGGTTTACACAGATGAGGGCGGTTTTCATATGATCACTCCTCTATATATATATATATATAGAGGAGCGTTCAAATAAAAACTTGCCCCATTTGTGTAAACTGTGTAAACCAATCTCATCCGTCCATTTTCTTGATCAATGGCTAAGATTAGTTTACTTTATTTTAGGAAATTAAAAATTAAAAAATATTAAAAAATTAT